TGCAACATTTAAGGGCTTTTTCCCATTCCCCTTTTTTATTATTCACTATAGCAATGGTCCGAATTTCTCATAATTTTCAAACCCATCAATAGTTTATTGTCAGAATTAAGTTTGCCATTTAACTTCCACACTACATATTGCTGAACTATCATGACATAGAAACATAGAAACTTTTCAGGATGTAAACAAATGTGTGTGTGTGTGCGTGCGTTTTTTTTATAAATGTAGAAAGTAAAGGGACCAAAAAGTAAAGGATCAAAAACAACAAAGACTGACAGATAAATCAGTCCATTCTCATTCTCTCTTTAGTATATATAATTCAGTCCAGTTTGTCAAAGATCACTTCAAGCTTAATTCACATAACGTCACACTCATCTCACATCTCACATCTCACACTCATAAATCTTGCAAACAGTCAAGCAGTCTTCCTACAGTCTTTTGAGCAGTGCTGTCCTTGGCATGTTGAATTTACAGAGATGTCCCTGACCCTCGCTCTTTGGGTTGTAAAGTTGTTATGTCTATGAAATACACGCTCCCTGCTGGGTGTCCTCAGGCCCACCTGCTCAGTTAAAGGACACAGGAGTCACTGCAGGAGTTGAATGGCACCAGGATTAGCACATCTGTAGATTTCGAACTTAGTAATAATAAATTCTACAATCTTCTACTAAGATCTTTCATTCATTTGAAGATACATTAAATGGGCAAGGCAAAGGATAAACTCAATTTCACCGGCTGCACGGTGGCTGAGTGGCTAGCACTCATGCCTCACGGCAAGAAGGTTCTGGGTTTGATCCCTAGTTTGCCCAGGCCTTTCTATGTGGAGTTTGCATGCTTCTCCCTGGATGGGTTTCCCCCATCATCCCAAAAACATGCTACAGGTCTCCAGAACAGTTTATTGTCAAGGTCAGCTCGTTCAGTGATCCAGAGATAACAGGTGGAAAATTAGCTCTAGTGCTTCAACCTGGTACAATGCATCTCTCCTGTAAAAGTTAATGTCAAAATGTCCCTGCCTCAAATAAATAAACAAATAAAAAATAAATAAATAAAAGTTGTCAACTGGACAAATGTTTATTTTGGTTGAAATAAACATTTGTTCAGTTGACAAATTGAATTTCTCCTTTGCCATGGATTCTTCCTGGACGACTGATGGATTTTACACACACTAATCAGGCAATTTGGCAGTTTTATATAGAGCGAACGGAGATAGGGAGAGAGACAGAGAGAGAGAGAAAGAGCGAGAGAGAGAGAGAGAGAGAGAGAGCGAGCGAAAGAGAGTGAGAGAGAGAGAGAGAGAGAGAGAGGGTTTAGATAGAGTTTGTCCTAATCTTCTGGCACAGACATTCTAGTTTGTTTGTCTGATCCTTATGGATAACTTCAAAATCAGGGTCAGACAGTCAAATGCAGGGCAAGAGAATCCCTGTTTTAAGTGTTTTCATCATTTAATTAATTGTAATTAATAATGTTAATAATGTCAGTGAATGTCTCTGCATTTGGCCTATCCTTCCACCACTGCTGCTGGGGCAATCTGTCAGCAGCAGTGGGGACCCATCTCCAGATCTTGAGTTAGTCTTTGTCAGTAGGATCTTAGTTAGAGGATTTTACCTATGGTGCATGTTTTCAGTTAAAAGAGAAACCAGAGTGCCAAAGTTCATGAGAGAAGAATCAACCTAGAAAAGTTTCTGTGTGGAACCCGTGCTGTTGTTGCTGTGAGGTGAGCACGCTATCCACTCAGCCACCACATTGCCAGTAAAAGGCTGTAACTGCAGTGGACACTAGCAGTATATCTCCTGTAAACAGTAGTAAGCACATGGACATTACCAGTATCCAGTGTGAGCAGTAATAACAGCGATGTTTTTATGTGCAGACTTAGCTGGTCTAATAGAGTCATTCATGGGGCTGTGTGTGGTATGTGTTTGTGGTTGTGAGGCTGGATCATGTGAAGTGGGAACATGGGAGCTAATCCAGAACACGCTGCAGCTTCCTCAACATCATCAAATATGTACTACAGTCTCCCTCTCTTTCAACAACAATCCTTCCACCACTCATCCTCCTTCTCTCTCTCTCACTCTCTTCTATCTCTTCCTCTCTCTCTACTAAACTCTTGCCAACTCCGTCTCTTCTCTCTCTCACTCTCACTCTTCACTCTGTCTTCTTTCATCATCTCTCCTCTTTTGTTCTTTAGCTCCCTCCACCTGCTTATCTCTCACTCTCTTTTTCCCTCGTCCTCTCTCTCTCTCCCTCATCTCTCTATCTCTCTCGCTCCCTCTCCCCCTCCTCTCTCCCACTGTCCTCCACTCCCTCGCTCTCTCATGTTACCCAATACACTCGTTCAGACTGAGCACATGGAGCCGAGAATGTTCCTGACATTAAGAGGGGCTGAGGAAATAAACTGGACTTGGCACAAACCCTTGAACATTTGAACTTTTCATTATATCTGTCAATATTTCGTTTCCGTTTGGATATTCTTATTTAATAAGCAAGCAATGTTTTAATCATCATGAAGTTTGAATTTTTTTTCTGCAGCCTGTTAAGTTAGTAAGTAAGTAGGTAAACTATTTATAACATGCTCTTCACATATCATCCTTAAACTTTCTACACCAAGCACCATCAAAGAAAATATTTGGTTTTCCTAGTACCACCAGATCTAAATCATGTCTGTACAAGAAGTATTCCAGGTCTAGTCTGGGGTTAAACAATTTCTATAAGTGAACTACAAAGCCACTGTAATTATTTATGAGAAAAAGAGGAATAAAATGAACTCTAAAATTAGGCAATTTAGAGTCTTCTGATGCGAAGGTTGGCGGTTCAAATCTCGCTCTCGACATAAACATCATTTGTTGAGCTGTAAGATCCATTGACCATAGATTGGTGGCGTGACTCCGACTGATGAATGCTGTTGTTGTCCTTGGGTAAGACACATGACTCTCCTCAACCTCCCTATCTGCGTGTGAATGGATGAGTGGTTCCTAAAGTGCTCTGAGAGCCTTGAAGATGGAAAATGCTGTATATAAATGTGACCACTTACCTTTTTACCACCTGAAGAACTGAAGGAACACTGATATAATCTCAAAGTGCTTCACAGTAAAAACCAACCACTGCAGACGCTTATCTGTAGCACATGACTACCAAATATGACTCATCTCTACTTAAAAATTCTTGTATCATTCAGAATAAAATGTATTGCTAACTGCTTTTAAGATAAATAAGAGATTAGTGTGTTATTTTTCAGGGAGAAATCGGTAAAATGAGGTATGTTCCAGTATAGAGGGCAGAGAGAGAGAGAGAGAGAGAGAGAGAAATGGTACTGGAACAAACATTTTAGTTTGTCTGTCTGATCTTGATGGATAACGTCAATGGTCAAAGGTCAGAGAGTCAAATGCCGGCCAAGAGAATCCCTGTTTTAAGTGGTTTCATCAGTTAATTAATCATAATTAATAATGTTAATAATAATAAATGTCTCTTCATTTGGCCCATCCTTCACCCAGTGCTGCTGAGGCAACCTGTCAGAAGCATTGGGGACCCAACTCCAGATCTTGAGCTAGTCTTTGTCAGGACAACCTTAGCTGGAAGATTTCTATGTATTTTTATTTACTTATTTATTTATTTATTGAGTATACTAAGATGAGAGGACAGCAACATGGTTAAAAGCTCATAAAAGTTGATTTTATACAATGGTATGTCCTCTTTAATAATACTTAGGTCTATTATATATATATCTATCTATATATTTGTTTTGTAATTTGTGAATACAAGCCTATAGATCGGAAAATTAATTGATTTAGATCCTCGTGAATTGTGTTTTGAAGGTGGCAGTTTAAATCCTCATCCATAATTATTACAAATAGAATTCTTGTTCATTTTCCCTACACTGCTTTAAAATCCATTCAATGATCCAATTAGTCGCTTATAGTCAGACCTCTTAACCAAAAATATTGATTGTATTTAACTCAATGAACCATGTGGAACACAATATGTTTATTTCATTTGGTGACACTGAAAGGATACTGTACAACCTGCCACAAATACTTTAAAGTAAATGTCTTTCCCAGTTTTAAATCTAGTTAGTAACGCAGTCACTAACCTACTGACCTCCATTATCTCTCCTGGCTACTTCAGTGCACTATTGGCTCCAAAGCACCCATCATCTCTGCACCCCCACTTGCATTTTGTCACCTCCTCACGCACGCAGCCACTTCATCAGTCTAGACTTTCTGGCTAATATTGCTAATGACAGCATCCTGAGTACTATTTTTATGTTTGGTGCCATGCTTGTTTTGGATGTGTGAATAAAAAGACTTGTTTTAACTAAATCCTGGCATGGGATATGGAAGAAGGACTGTGCTGACAAAGTTAAGCATGATATTAGCTGTCAAATATTTCTCTCGACATAGCTGTCACAATCAGAGAAGATAATTATAGTAATCAAGCAATGATAAAACACAATAGGCTAATGTTTTTGAGAATACCAAAAGAAAAATTCAACTGTTCAACTATTAAATTAGCCTATTTGAACATTTGCACTTCTTGTTCTTCAGATAGGCTATGATTTGTTTTAATAATTTTTAACTACCAGATCTGTCCACATTTTAATGTTTTATGTAACTCATTAATCATGGGTCACATCATCTTTTATATTATATATATATATATATATATATATATATATATATATATATATATATATATATATATATATATATATATATATATATGTGTGTGTGTGTGTGTGTGTGTGTGTGTGTGTGTGTGTGTGTATATATATATATAACTGTAACTGGTGTATTTTTAGGACACTACTTTGTACTTCTACTTAAGAATCTATGTCTATTTAACGTCTAAAATTTAATAAAACTGATCAAATAAATAATTGCTGTACGTTTACACCATAGACTTTATATTAACAAATATACATTCAATAATATATACTCTATATTATAATGATTCTCTTACACAGTTTATGTTTTACACTGAAAAGCCCTGACCGGAAGCCTTAAAGTCAACAAAGATGGCGGAGCAGCGACGAGGTGGTTAGCTCTTAATGTAGCTCCGTTTAATCGAAACTAAATACAGATTTTTCTCATCTTATAACTTCGTGTGTCGCTTAGTCAAAGGTATGTATTCATAGCGATTATGGCAAACGCATTCTTTGCAAATGCATATTAAAACGAGTGTCTATTTGGCTTTTTGTGGTTCGGAAGCGTCAGGCAGTGGCTATGCAAAACAAAATGGCTCCTAACACCAATTTGGTCTTATTTTATGCTAGTATTCCTTCACTGTTGTGTTCCGTTTTCATCCAGTTCAAACGTAAGCGGTTTTATCTGTCATACCTTCAATTTCATTTTGATCAGTGGCCAAATTACCTCCTTTTTTGAGTTCTGAAAAAACAAAGGACAGAAAAGGCGTTGGCACTGCACTGTTCCGAAATGTTATAATAAATATGGCATTCATTTAAATGAATAATATAAATAACACCAAATAATAATATACACAATACTACATATTATAACTTAAAACAAAACCTAACGAATAGATTATTAAAAAAACCTCCTTGACAGCTAATGTGAAGTAGCGGCTGTACGTGCAGTCAGTGTGAAAGGGGGGACTGGTTACTTAACGGCTAAGGGTTGTAGTCTGAGGGATTGTTCTTGGCGTGTGGTGTGTCTGTGCTGCTGGTAAACGTGCATTTGTTGTGTAAATCTGAAAATGGAGGGTGTTTTTGTTGTGCATTTTCTGGACGATGGTAAGTTTGTGAAACTTCACATAGGTATCCTCAGAACTGACAAAAGAGACTTGGATCAGCCATGGTACATTTTGGTGTGAGGTTGTGTGATGTCCTTGGGGTTTACAGAAGATAAATGTAATCTTTGCTTCTCTATCACCCAAGTTCCCCACACAACCATGCCACAAAATGACACCACCTCAAATAACAAAGGCACAACATTTTATCTGTAATAGTTTTTCTGCTTTTCATCTCACAGCTTGGCTGTGCATACAGAAAGCTATTTCCCGTCCTCGCTTTGCTTGGAGTCCAGCGGCCCCTTCTCCGTAGCTCTGCGGCTGGCTCACATTGAGACTCAGGCACAGATTGCCCTGCGACAGCTTGCTGCTCTCGCTGCCGCCACCGTTGCCTCCAGCAGACTCTTCACTGCGCTCGCCCCTGAGCGAGCTGTTCTGACTCTGAGCACCAACTCAAACCACAAACATTTCACAGACACTCGCCTGACCATGTACCACCACCAGCCGCAGGGCCCCCAGGGCTTTCCCGGCGGGCCCCGGCCTCAGAACCAGCCTCTGGTCCGGCCCCCAGCGGACATGATGCCTCCTGTGGGGCCCTATCAGTTTCCTCGCCCCACACAGCTGCCCGACGAGCTGGAGTCGGCCCTGTCAATACGAGGCTCTCGGGACATGGACCACCGTCTCATTGAACACTTAAGTCGGCTGAAGCAGCACCAGAGCCAGGCCTCTGCTCCTGGCTTGACCCAACAACATGGAAATTACGGCACCAACCTCTGCGACTCGCAGCCCAAACAGCAATCTATAGACTGGTCCAGCTATGAGCCTCCCACCAAACTGTTCGCACAGCACCCAGGGGGGCACACTGGCACAGGTTTACCAAACTGGAACCCCCCCATGAGTGACTCCTCTGTGCCCCCTCAGAGAGCAGAGGGTGGCCGGGGCTTCTACACTCCAGAGAGTGCAGGAACTATTCTAGCCAGCTTTGGACTTTCTAATGAGGATCTGGAGGCGCTCAGTCATTACCCGGACGACCAACTGACTCCAGACACTCTGCCCTTCATCCTGCGGGACTTGCAGATCCACAAAAAACCCAAAGCTTCACACTCACCCGATGTGCCCAGCCTTCTGTCTGTCACTCAGACTGAGGGCAGAGTCATTGACTATGGACATGCCAGTCAGGCAAAGGATGAGAATGGGCCCCCAAAAACATTCAAAAAAGAACCCATGTCTACCGAAAGGACAGTGAAAATGTACCCCGCACCTGCCCCAAAGCTGGAGGCGAGTGTAGGGAGGCAGGTTCGCCTAGAGCCAGCCGAGCCGATCAAGCATGGAGACCGAGACTATCGACGGCGGAGCAGCGAACATCAGTCTAGCCACTCACCGCCTCCACGAGACTTTTCTACAGCTGCAAAACCACGACATCAAGACCGTGACTACAGACTAGAACAGCCCAAACCTAGGGCCTCAGCTGAGAAGAGGAGCGGGGAAGTGACTGTGTCCAAACCACATCCTCCTCCCACTGTGAAATCTCCTCGAGCCGGGCTCAAAGCTCCCAGCAACAAGAAGCTCCCTACGCCCACCATGATGAACGATTTCTCTGGGGTGCCTCCCAAGGTCTACCCTCACACCTGCTCCTTGTGCGACATGCAGTGTGATCAGGAACAGGTGAGTGCTTAACAACGCAGTGTCTCACTCAATGAGGTGAATCTGGTTTCAGACTCAAGGGCCTTGCAAATGTTATGGTATGGATGTAAGATGTTTTGTAAAGTAAATATAATAATCTTTGTAAATTTTTTTAAAAGACACAATACGGGAAAAACAAAACAGACCTTGGCCTTGATTTGTGTGTAACACAGAACACACACAGTATAACAACAGAGGCAGTAATATGGCAGGTGTGAAGACACAAATGTAGGTAGATTAGTGTAATCAAAAGTATCAGCCAGGTAGTAATCAGTACTACAACTAGTATTGCAACTAGATACTCATTTGAGCAAGTGCTGATATTAAAATAAATCACATAAAAAGGACAAATTAATTGGACCTTTTGTGAATTTTGAATAAGCTTTATCATGACAACTGTAACATTTGTAGTGTTTTTGTTATTTTGGGTTTGTAGGAGTGGGTAGTAACTGTAATATGAATTAAGTTTTTCGTCAGGACCTTCATTTTTTTTTTTTTAAATACTCAGTGTTTCAGGTTCAACGTAATTATTATATTAACACAATTATATAGGTCAAATTTAGTAGTTTTTTTTTAAAAGTTCCTTGGTTTCTAAACATTGTAAACAGAACCGTATTTACAGTGAAGGTTGTACTTGCGCCCTAAAGTGTGTTAATGTGAATCTTCAGAATTGATAATGCATGACTTATTTTGTGGATAGTGAATAATTCAATGTGTTTTATTTTTTGTTTGGGTGTTATTAAAGGCAGTGGCCTTCATCATTTCAATCTCTGTACATCTCAATTTGTGTAAGAACAAAAGTGCCTTACGCCTCAGTAATTTTAATTGTAAAAGAAGAAGTCTCGACTTAAGTGTAATCTGTGAACTGTGGTCAGCACTGGTGTCTGTTCTTGTCCTCAGGAGTGGATCGGACACTTGGAGACGGTGAACCACACTGCGGCCTGCAGACACCTGCGCACAACGTGAGGCCTCTACAGACTACTACACACAAACAGGACCTTCCTCTATCCAGTCAGCTAATGTAGAGCTACAGCACAGACACTCAGACACACAGTTTTACAGTAATATATTCAACACCTATGCTATTACCAGTATTTTACACTACAGAGCTATAAGATACATCTGGAGTTAAATATTTCAGCAAACCTTGTGTCTCTATAAGTAAATACAAGTTAGCTAATGCATCATCATGTGATGTGTGCTAACCGCTCATTCATCTCTCTGAAGGTATCCTGACTGGAAGCCAAAACTGCCAAGGTTAGTCTCACTCATAAAAAGGCTATGTGATCTCAGCTTTAAATACTTTTCAAAATGTACATTCAGTGTCAATTAATTGTTCCATTGTTCCATTAAATGTGTTAATAATAACTGTTATTTCTTTGTAAAGCCGTGACTATGGAAAGCGGCAGCCTTCGACACACCTTGGCTCTCGCTCGGCCTCCTGGTCTCCCCCTCCTCCCCCCGGGAAACACAGAGGAACCTCCTACAAGGTCCGGGGCAAAGCTTATGATCCTCACCATGTCCCCAGGCACCATCCATACCACACCAAAGGTACTTTTTACTTGCACCACCAGCCAAGACTGTACTAGGGCCCGACCAATGTGGAATGGTCTGGCCCTAGTCTTTATATTTAGTGATGTAATAATCTTCTTCTTATTATAAAATTTAATTTGGGTTTGTTTAGGCTACATTTATTCTGCATTTTTAAAGGCTTCAAAGTACTGACTCAGACCGAAAGGTAAGAGCCCACTGTTATAAACGGGACCATATGATATCTGTGGCTGCATTCAGATGCAGTACAGCAAGGTTAAAAAGCAAGGTTAAACTCAATCTTGAGCTAACTCACTCTATACCTTCTTTTCTGCTCCTATCCTCTATAAATCCTTATAATCTAAACAGAATAATTAGCTGATTTATAGAAATCTTGACTCGACTAAGACTCTATTGACCGATTACAGGGCTACAGCCCTAACACATGTTTTTTGAAGACGATGATCTCTTTTTCTCATTAAATGTTAAATTTCTAATTTATTTATATGCTATGTAAAAAGGCAGATAGTTAATATAGATAAATGGTTTCGTAGTACTGTTTTCATTAACTCCTGTACAATTATAGTCTTGTGAGTAAATCTTGTAGGGTCAGACGCATAGATAGTTTTCAGAGCTTTTGCCATGCCCTCCTTTTTATTCAGCTGGACATATCTTTAGACCACCAAGAATTTCTTTCTTCAACTACAGCCCTAAACACCATACAGTCCCTGACAAAAGTCTTGTCGCTTATCCATTTTGTAGAAACAAAAGCTTATAACCTGACTTTAAATTAATCGATTGGTTTTAGAAATGTCTCATATGAAAGCTAAAACCCTCCCAAATTATGCTCAATATACTAAAATAAATTTGCTTCACTGAATAAAGATTGATCATTTAATGAACACAGAAACGTCAGATTTTGGCAAGACAAAAGTCTTGTCGCCTTGTCATATGATGCACCCAATCCTAGATTACAGCCTCACCTGTGATCAGTTACTGATCAATCAATTAGTGGGTGTGTATAAAAAGAACCCCAGCACACCAGACCTTCACATCAACTGCAACTTGACCTCTGACAACATGCCTAAGATCCACCCTGAGACCAAAGCATTAATTATCAAGAGGCTGAAGACCAGATCCACTGCTGAGGTGGCTGACACCTTCAAAGTGTCTCAGCGTCAAGTACAAAGAATAAGAAAAAGATCTGAAATGACTGGAGATGTTTTTGACAAGCCCAGGTCCAGCAGACCCCGCAAGACAACTGCTCGGGAGGACCTGTTTGTTGATTTGAAATCCAAGGCCAGCCCCTTTTCCACTGCAGCAGACTCCACCAGGCCTGGTCACCTCAAGTCCCTGTGTCAACCAGAACAGTTTGTAGAATTCTGTCTCGAAATGGCCTCCATGGTCGAATCAGTGCACAGAAACCAGCACTAAACAAAAGGCAATTAAAAAAAACGTGTGGCATTTGCCAAGGCCCACAGCCTGCTAAAAGGATGGACACTGGAAAAGTGGCAGAAGGTGGATTTCTCAGATGAATCCTCGGTTGAATTACATCACAGCCACTGCAAATATTGCAGGAGACCTACTGGAGCCGCATGGATCCAAGATTCACCCAGAAAACAGTTAAGTTTGGTGGCGGAAAAATCATGGTCTGGGGTTCCATCCAGTATGGGGGTGTGCGAGACATTTGCAGGGTGGAAGGCAATATCAATAGCCTAAAATATCAAGAAGTATTAGCTCCTCTTACATTCCCAACTATAAAAGGGGTCAGATTTTGCAGCAGGATGGTGCTCCATCACATACTTCTATCTCTACATCAAAGTTTCTCAAGGCGAAGAAGATCAAGGTGCTCCAGGACTGGCCAGCCCAGTCACCAGACATGAACATCATTGAGCATGTCTGGGGTAGAATGAAAGAGGAAGCATGGAAGGCAAAACCAAAGAATCTTGATGAACTCTGGGAGGCATGTAAGACTGTTTTCTTTGCTATTCCTGATGACTTCATCAACAAATTGTATGAATCATTGTCGAACCGCATGGATGCAGTCCTTCAAGCTCATGGAAGTCATACAAGATATTAAATATGGATCTCACAGCACCACTACTTCAATTCACTGACGTTATGCAACATATTTTTGTATTTTAAGTAAATTATTTGTTAAATTTTCTGTAGGCGACAAAACTTTTGTCTTGCCAAAATCTGACCTTTCTGTGTTCATTGAATGATCAATCTTTCTTAAGTGAAGCAAATTTATTTTAGTATATTGAGCATAATTTGGGAGGGTTTTAGCTTTCATATGAGACATTTCTAAAACCAATCAATTAATTTAAAGTCGGGTTATAAGCTTTTGTTTCTACAAAATGGATAAGCGACAAGACTTTTGTCAGGGACTGTATGTGAATCCAGTGTTATGACATAAAATATCTAATACTGTTCATTCATAAGCTTATTTTTAGCTGAATGGATAAAACACAGTGACTAGAAAGAACAGCTTTGAAAAACCTGTTTTGAATCACGTGACTCCAGATGAAAAATGCAGGAAGTAAGAAGTCCAAACATGTCAGGTAGGGAAACAAACTCCGGTTATAAGAGCCACTGTGTTAGTCTCATTGAAAACCAAATGAAGCTTTTTGAACTTGTAATGTTAAATTAATTGTGTGCTTTTAAGAATCTTTTATGTGTATACCTTTTCTGTGTCAACATTACATGTTTAAGTAACATGGTTGTGTTGGCAGATAAATAGAAGTTCTATCATGATGTCGAAATTTATTGTATTGGTATTTGTTTATTAAAGGGGCAAAACAGTTAATGCGAGTTAATGCAAAAACATACCTGTGAATGATGGATTGTAGCCAAAGCTAATTTCCATCCATGGACGTATGCCAGCCACACAAGCCCACACAATTCTGTTCTATGGATCGTATCAGACAATAAGATATTTGTCTGATAACCAGATAATATAATATAGATAATTATTTCAGCCTTTGAAAATCTGTGGTGAAGCCCACAAATTGATGGAAAGTTCACAAAATAACACTTTAGAATTTTTTGAAAATTAATTCAATTTATATTGTATACTGTAATTTACTATATACAGCCACCTCTTTAGCTTTTTTGCACTTCCATTTCATTTTTAGTCTGTTAAAGTAGGGATGGGCGATATCTCGATATTTTAAATATATCGAGATATTTTTTAAACTGGATATGAATTCTGACATATCGTATATATCGATATAATGCTTATATTCAATTCTGATTTTGCCGCTTCGCTTGTTTGTCTTCTCTGTCGTCACCCGCACGCCCCCGCCTCACTGATTTTGTTCGCTCGTGTCTCATTCACTCCTCACTATCGCCGTGAAAGCTGAAAGTTGGTGCCAGTGAAAAGCTTCTAGTACCACGAACCTTTTCCACCATTTACAGACAAGACCATCTCCAGCACATCCTCATATTCTACCGAGTCATGTCCTTTCACAAGGAGTGTGCTGTTTATGCAAATGAGCCATGCTCTTTTAAGTTTCGTTTCTGTAAAATGTAAACAAGTCTGCGCAAAGCTGCATTAAACACATTATAATCTCAAACGGGCTGATGTGGCTCTAGAGTCGTTGTACTTTATATGTTGTAAAGTTTAGAAATATAAAGTTTATTTATGCAGAAGATTTTTAATCTGCTGCGGTGTAACTTGTACAATAGTGTTTGGAAATGTTGGGTTTGATCTGCCCAGTGGATTGTGGGAAACCTCAGAGCTCCTTACACTGGTGAGAAACATGGATCTGTTAAAATAAGGAACATCCTGAGCTTCCTCTGCTAAAGGAGCTCATGGTTATGGTTATGGTTTAGATAACAGACTTAATGCAAAGATGAGGTTGAGTTGAGTTGCTTTATTTATGAACGAAAAGAAGGAAATGTGTATTATTTCTTTTACTTTACAGTTAATTTATTATTTATGTAATTAGGGTTTTTTGTGATCTTAAATGTTCCTATATAAACTGCCTACCTCTTACACTTAATAAATAAAAACACTTAACTTAACAATTAATAATAAAAAAATTATATTATATATTTGTTTTTGCAGTTTTCAGTTTTAGGGGATTATTTTTTCCCTGTACAGATGTCGAGATATATATCGTATATAGAGATATAGCAAAACACATCGAGATATATTTTTTGATCCATATCACCCAGCCCTTTGTTAAAATATGAAATACTACAAAAATCCTCTAAAGCTTATATTAGCACAGTATTAGTTATATCGATCTCCCTTTCTTCACAGTGATTTCACACTAACTACATTTTTAAATTCGATTTCTCTTCAGATGTTGATGCCCGGTTCGACCGGCCTTCTCGCGGTGGAGCACACTCCTTCAGAGAATACCTGGAAAAGAAGGAACTGGCTGGTTAGTTTACTTTAATCGTGGCCTTAATTTTATCATTTTAAAGTTCCCTACAATAGAATACAATAATCATTGTGCATTTCAAATTGATTTGATTGATTGTGGGGTCAGATTCTTTAATTCTTTGCATTGCAGTGAAAGTTCTTAAATGTATTTTTAAAAAATGTGTTTCTCCTCTTTGTTTTAAATTCTTAGGTGCATCACGCACTTATCTGAAGCGGCCATATCTCGACAAGCGTTACTCAAGCCTTAAAGGGGATGTTACAAAGAAGACACTGAATAAAGCAAAGACCAGCTTAAAGTCAGGCCATGGGCCCACCAGACCTGTTAGTATCACAATGACGCTGAAACTATTTGAAACTTTCAACATCATCACAAAGGCTATATAGTTTTAGGGTAACATAATGTCTTAATTAATAATGTCATAATGTCAGATTATCAAAAAACAAAGTTCCATGGGAACTTTAAAAAAAAACCTGGACCTTGTAGTTTAGACCTTTTACAAATATGTTCTGAATATGTTTTGAGATGATTGTGGTCCTTGTTTATGGCACAGTGGTTGAGTGGTTGGCACTCTTGCCCCACCGCAAGAAGTTTTGACATGCACCATAGTTCAAATCCTCCCGCTAATGTAGTCTTGACTAAAATTAGTTCGGTGTGGTTTTGTGAGTGCTGTACGGCAGAGGCTCACTGCTCATAACAGATTGCCACAGAGGGATTAATAAAGTATATTTTATCTACCCTGTTTAATTTGACAGTTGATAACATTATTCTTTCAAATGTAAAAATATGTATAAAGATGGTCACACTTACTTGGGTTTTGAGACAAACAACAAAATATTCTTTTTCTAAGGCCAAGTGCCTTGAAATGACTTCTATATTATGTGATTTAAGGCTGAAGAAGGTCCACCGGCCAAAAAGAAGAAAGTGACTGCCCCAGTGCCCGCTCATGGTCCTGACTGTCTGGTTTATCTGACGCACATTCCCAAAGAGGCCACAGAGCAGGAGGTGATCAACCTAGCTGGATCCTTTGGTCCAATCAACAATGTGCTCCTGATGCCCTCCCTTGAAGAAGAGGAGGACCATGGTCAGCAGGTAAAATGAGAACTGAGGACTCTTGATGTCTAATGTAGCAGTTGCTTATTTACTTCACACAAGGGACATATTATGCTAAATCAACCATCATGAGCTTATTAACTATTATTCCCTTGATCCATGCATGTTTGAATAATCTTGAATTTCCTCCATTTGGGGCTTGGGCTTTAGTGCTCACAAAATGTTTTTTTCACCTAACACTTTCTCAGCCCACAACTCTGAAGTAACTTGCATATGTTCAAAAATGTAAACATAAGGTTCAAAAATGTTATATAGCCATTTAAAAAAAATTAAAACAAATAAATGAACTTTTATTTATTTGGTTTCTTGCTAAGGTGTAATGCCACTATGAAGAGATGGGGGTTTATCTGTTCTGCATTTTTCAAAGGGAATCGGCTGTCCCATTTCTATTAAGTCATTTTGAATAATTTTGTTAAATTGTTATGACGTTCTAAGTTTGTTATATTTTAATAACAAACACTAGACAAAAATCATATTCTTTCATTTCCATTTATCTTTTTCAGGCCTCTGTGTGCATGATGAAGGCACAGGATGCTCAGGCTTTTGCCAACGCTCCAAACCTGCTGATCAGAGACAGGGTCATCACAGCAATGCTCGCCAAGGTAAATAAAATGCTAATAGTAAACTGTGGAGGACGGTCTGCTGTGATTGGTCATTTGAAGTGATGACAATTAGAAACTGGGTTATAATTTAGGTTAGGAAAAAGATTATGGTTGAGGCTATGTTGGTTAACATGCTAAATACCTATTAGCCTTCTCATCTTACACCATAAAACGTAAAACACACAGTTTTGGCCTTCTGTCCCTCTAGAGCTATGTATTGATCATTAATGTTGACAGATGTGAGGTGGCTAAAATATGATTTGTGGCTTTGTGGGGGTCTAAAATATGATTTGTAGCTTTGTGGGGGTCATTAGGGGAAAAAACAATCCTAAATTCTATGGTTCTTTAGATAACACATCCAGGATACAACTTTTATCACAGCAGTGAAAGCAGCAGAAGTTAAACTGCTTTGAGGAGTGATGAAACTTTCATTTTTTAAATAGCCTTTTTTTTTTTTTTTTTTATCAGTCAAATGAGTCATATATAGTGTCCAAAATAAATGGAATCATTAGTCACACGTATTACTTACTGTTGGGAGCTGGAAATGGAACTGAAACAATGTGCATGCCTTTATTAAAAATATGTTTATAATTATGTCTATTTTCATAGAATCCCGAGGAGCAATCTGATGTAGACAGGTGAGGCACAATTTAAAAACACAAAATTGACTTAACTGATCACATTAAACTTTTCACATTCAAATGCATTTGTAATTTATTAATGTTGTTTCATTGTTTTTCAGTTCTATGAAACCTGAACAAGGTAAGGCATTTCCCTGCATTCATTAGTCTCATTGTTGCCTGCATTTGCAATAACTTAATTTATTCTTATGCATCTCTCTACCACAGAGAACAGTGGGGATCATACCTCTGAAAAGAAGGTATTTGTTCAGTTTTTTTTTTTTTTATAACCATATGTTCAAGTAAATGAAGAACTAAATTGAATTAATCTAAAAATGAACTGTTGTAGATTTGTTGTAGACTTTATTAGCAACAATATGAGTCTAAATAAATCTATTAAAACCTACAAAAATGAAAGTCCAGTCGATTGACAAATATTGTGTAACAAGTTTCAATTAATCAGGTTTCCAGATTGTTTTTATCCTACTTGACATATTCGGATTTGGGCTGGTTACCAGTACATACATCCGTACCTTTCTTAACAGTAGTTGCTTTCCTGTATTTATAATTATTCATAACAAATAAGAATTGTAATTGTAATCAGTTATTTGCAGTCACAATGCCTAGTAACTTTCTATAGTGCTCTCCCAGCACTCACCAGGCATAAAAAGTTAATCAGAAGAAAAATACTTTTCAGTACCTGTTTCTGGTACCAATTTACCCACTTGTATTTCTAAAATTGGACCAAAAAAATGCGTGTTCAACTGTTGTATTATTACGTTATGAAATTTCACGGTTTCCTCTCACAATAAACCCAACACAAAATGTGACCTATACTAAATGTTGTGTTGTGGACAGAAGGGCGCTGTGTTGATAGAGGGGCTCCCTGACAGTGGATGGACTGAAGAGCACCTCACAGCCCTGGCAGAGCCTTTTGGATATCCAGACGACGTCATCGTGGCCAAACAGATCAGAAAGGTACTTGGAAAGATCAATTATTTGTTTTTGTACTATGTGGACTCTCCCAAATCAAAGCAACAATTAAAAGATTTACGTGAACAGGGTGTGATCTGAATTGACATACCCACAACAGCTCAGAACTGTTCTACAAAACATAACAAAAATGCTGTAGCAACAAAAGGTAATCACAATAAATACTTAATTCCATATAATTATCCCAGCTGTCATTTAGTAATTACTGTGATTCATTTTTTTTATTTCATTCAATTCATTTTCATTATTATAAGTATAGCTTGAAATTATTGCTAAACCTACAAAGCCACTGTAATAATGTTGATCTATTTTATGTTTCAGGCCCTTTTGCTAATGCCAGACGTGGAGACTGCTCGAGAGATGGTGAAGGTTTACGCGTTCAGTCCGGCTTCCATCAATGAGCACAAAGTGACAGTGAAAAATGTGTGTAGAAACCTGGGCATGCACACACCGGTAAGAATCTGAACTTATGTTAAACTAGAAGTGACATCACTACTGTACACAACCTATTTAAATTATCTGAATAATTAAATAATATACTTTCTCTAAACAGGTGGCGTTGTACAATCTTCTGATGCATGGGGTAGATGGAGTGGTAAGGTCAAAGTTCATTCTAAATCACCATAAATTTCCGTTAGTTTAGTAATATAAGATTTTCTATTATGTATAAAGCCTGCTATCTCTGTAGAATAGGGCTGTGAAATCAATCCCATTTTAATAAAAAACTGTAGTTTTTAAAACTTCAATCACAATTTGTCCAAATAATCATATAACGTGTTTTTCTGTCTCCTCTAAATAATTGCTTCGAATAATGTTTGTCACAAATTTTGTCAGAAAATTGCAATTTAATAATGTCTATTTAAACCCTCAGTCATCCAGGTAGTATCCTTTGCCAAATAAAAATCATTATCAACTGGACCAAGGATTTTTAGAGTGAAGACATTCCGTCGCTCATCCTCACGGCTTCTTCAGTTCTGGTCAGGGTTCTGTATGAAGGGAGGAGCTAACTACACTGAAACCTACAGTGCTGTAGGTCAATAACAGAAACTGAACAAATAGGTGTTAGTTTCTAGATAGTTAGCGCCTTCCTTCAGACTGATATAAGGTAGTGTCCAACCAGAAACCAGACCATAAGAAGCCACTTGGATGACTAGACAAAATAGATTTTTCTCTTGCTCCTTGACATTGTTCCAAATAGGCCTTACATTATATTTTCCCATTGTATTTGTGCATGGTGTTTTGTCATAGAATGTGAATTAACTTGACGATACACTGTGTTTTACAGACGAAGACTTCAGCTGTGTCCTGGGGCATGCTCGTTGTAGTTTCCAATGTGCCTGAGACTCCATCCAGTGCCTCCATTGTGCACAAACTGGTCAGCCGTATCGGGACAGTCTTTAACACACTAGCAGTCAAAAATATGGTAAAGAATTTCTCATCTACTTTTCTATATTTAAATTTTTTTTAAATAAATGCAATGGTAAATAATTATTGGAGTGCCATCAACACCATTTGTATTATTATTTTCAGCCAATAGTATGAGAACCATTAAATAGTTTTGTACATTTTTAATAAAATGTTTTGTAAGATGAGCTAAAAATACAACCTTACCTTTTCCAATCAAAACCATATGGTGACCTGGTTAATCAAAGGATTTTTAGAGTAACTTGTTTTGGGGGGTGACAAAGTACAGTGAATTTCAACTTCAGCTTTTTCAATCTTTTTCTTAAATTTTTGTCTTTGCCGACAAGAAAGTATGAAAGAAAGTAATATGAAAGTATTGTAGATTGTTGAAGATTTGTCCGTCCATTATCTATAAAAGCCCTTTGAGCTGGACTATTCCATCAGCGTATGTCATTCTGTCTTTTGTTCAGGTGATCTTTGAGATGGCCACAGGTCCTCTGGCCACTGCAGTCTTCAGACATTATCTAAAGTTTCCCTGTATGATCCAGAACAATCCTCTAGTGTTTTCACGCAAACCAGACACCAAAACTCCACACAAAGTCATCCCTGCCTTCCTCGACACAGACAAAGTAAGCAAGTTTGAATTAGTAAATGGTATCTGTAAATGAAGAGGTATTGTTTGTGTTATTGATATAGTCAAATTAATACTATTTTTAGATTAAATCACATGTCTCCAGAAGGTTTCAGTTTATTACATGTCCAAAACAAGGGACAATATTCTAATGTAAATGAAACTACTATTTAACGATTCTTCATGATTAATTGGCAGTGTAGACAAACAACAATTACATCATCAGTATTCTTTTATTGACATGATTAAAGTTAATGTTCAGTAGCCAGCTATGAAAGCACTTAACATTTGGGTACTTTTTTGTGGTGTCTGAAATTAAATAACTTAATTTTGCTTCTAAAATTGTCACAACTATGTTTGTCCTTGTCCTCTTAATAATTACATTTACCGATTAAATTAGTATTCTTGACTGGAGCCCGACCGATATATCGGCTGGCCGATTTTATTGGCTGATATGAGCACCTGGAGACATATCGGCTATCGGCCGATATGCTTGCTGATATGGGCCGATATTACACGTGGGCATGTTATACCTCGTTATAAAGCTTAGACTCTCTACATTATGTTCATTTAATCTAATTTACAGACAGATAGATGTCCTAATATGTGGCTCCGCATCAGTATCAAGCCCCCAGGTTCCAAAATGGCCGCCCATTCAGGTCAATGGGCTGAGCTCAATGGCGCATGATCCCAGATTAGCCTAGCATGGCTAGGTACTTCCGGTAGCTGTGGGCCGACCGAGCATGCGCACTAGTGCTCTTTTCTCCCACGGGCACATGCGAATGCACGCGGCCACACGCGCGGAGCGCGGGCTCGTGTATCACGTGATCGCTTTGACCAATCAGAGCGAGAGGAGCTAGAGCGGAGCAGAGTTGAAGGATTTTGAAGGATTTTGAGCGAGAAAAAGTTTATGATCTAAAAATAGGTAAAAATCGCCAGCAAATCCGATATTTTTGAAAGCTGTAGGTGACCTGTCAGACAAACACGAGCAGTTTGTGATTACATTGCGCTCTATGAGAAAAATCTTGTCTCGGCCCATGGGACTTTTTCTGCTGAAGTTCCAGTGAGTGACCACTACGTCAACTGGAGGCAGCTACAAGCTAGCGATACTGTATCCAGTTATTTTAATAGATCCATGATCAGTATTTATCTGCGGTGTAATTTGTCTGTGTGTGTGTCGGTACTGTCCCTGAACACAACCCCAGAGTCACGTCACTTCACTCACGTGCTATTGTTTACACCCGCAGCGGTGTGCAACACCGAGATTATATTCTTTTTACGGACAATCGGTTTGAGTCTGGATTAAAAGGACATTTATTAGTGCAGACTTGTGATGTGAGGAGGAGCCTGTGTGAGCGCGGTGAGTGTTGGAAATACATCGACTTTGAAGCTAGTTTTGGCTAGTTGTTTTTAGCGATTAGCTGTTGTAGCTCCCGCACATAAACAGGCTGTTTTCTATTGGCTTATTTAAAGTGACAGTATTGGCCTTATATTTGCTACTGGACCAGCATTGATATGTAAATGAGCTGTGAATAGACGTGTGAATGATCCACATTTATGCATATAATTAATTACTGCGCCGCGCACGTTTTTACGGCTAAAGGCTAATAGCGGTAGTTTCTTTACTAGCTAGGAGTTATGGGTCGGTCGCGATCGAAGCGGCTCTTAGAGCGAACAACGGGTGCATGTTTCTTATTGGGAGCCGTGTTTCCTCTTTTTCTCACTTTTTCTCTTCAAGCCGCTTGTAGACCCGTAGTTTGACAGCAGCAGCGGCTGAAAACGAAACTTTCAGAAATCTGCGTGTGCAAAGGACTAAAAAAAAAAAAAAAAGGGCATATTTGGCTGCAGTTCAGCATAAAATGAATAAACCAGAACTAAACTTGGGCTCGAGTGAGGGAGAGACCGAGTCCCAACACTCAGTCCTGGTTCAGTTCTGGTTTAGTCCTGTTTTACACATGGTTTAAATCTGTTTTAGTCCTTTTTCAGTCCTGGTTCAGTTTTGGTTTAGTCCTGCTTGCAACAAAACAATGTCCAGAGTCTCTTGATAGCCGAAAGAGCCAGCTGCTTTAGTGAGCCAAGCCAAAAGAGCCGGTTCTCCAAAAAAAAAAAAAAAAAAAAGGAATACCCATCACTAGTAGCTAGAATGTGATGCAAAAATGCCATTAGGCCAAGGTATGTAAATATGATGTGAAGAGTCAGAATAACAATAAATGTTGCCTAAATAAACCCAATTTAGAATCCACTAGAGCCAAACCTAAGTTTTTTAAACAATTCAAGATTTACGGTGAATTTTTACATCACTAAATATATCGGCGATTATATCGGCTATCGGCAGCGCCAACTCCCATTATATCGGTTTCATATCGGCCACAATAAAATCCATATCGGTCAGGCTCTATTCTTGACATCTCTACTTGGCAACTTAAGCAACTATTTCTTACTCTGTTAGATGTCAATTATTGACAAATCAAATGTTTTAAATATGTATATCTATTCCAGGAGGCCTGTGAAGATAAAAAGGAGCCCCCAACATTTGCAGAGGGCAGCCAAACTGAAGTCATTTCAAATCCAGTGTCCAAAGAGGAGATGCAAGCTGTGGAGATAAAGTGTGAACAGACTGAAGCACAGGTGATGTCAAATACTGAAGAAAATCCAGCAGCAACAACCACAATCACAGTCAAAGAAGAGCCCATGGAGACACAAACGGAGAATGTGATTAAAATTGACTCAGAGGAGGCAGTGACTGAGGAGGTGGCAGAGAAGGACCAGACGAGTCAAATGCCCTCTAAAGAAAATGGAGCCAAAGTCCAAACTGTAGAAGAGTCAAAGCCCCGTGCATCCACAGAGGGAGCGACCATGGCCCAGGACACGACAAGCCAAGAGAGCGTCCCCAAGGTAAATGGATTATTGTCTGTGGACGTGTTGTGATAATATCAATCAGTCATCATTTATAGAGCTCTTTACTACACTCAACAGGACCAAAGGGTTTTTAATTAAATCATCACAATATAAAAAAATATCAAGTTAATATTTATAATAACATTAGTTAAGACTGTAAAAAGAGCTGTTAAAAACTAAATTAAAACAAGCTTGCAGTTAAAGATTGAAAAGTGAAACAAATATTTATCAGCAATTTCTTTTGATGGATTGCACTAAGCTTTTGGCCCACGTTGGCTTAGAACACTAAACTCTCTCTGAGTTGTGTTGCATTATTGGGGCAGCCTTGGTTATGGGGCATTATGGGCCCCACCTGCCCTTCTCTCACTTTGATGTTGAACCATGACCGCAACTGTCTTGGATAGCCAAGTTTTTGTTCCCACATGGTTCTCATCAGATTTGATAAAATTCTGGTTCTTATCTAACAAATGACAATATCATTAAAAATTGTAAAATTCCTTTGCTGCACGACATGTAAAAAACAGCGCCGTGTGATGATGTCATTGGCCATGGTTTGGTTCGTTTGTGCATGTGCACTTTGTGTTACATTTTTGTATGAAAAGTGCTTTATAAATAAAGTTTGATTTGATTTGTGTAAGTGAGGAACCTAGAACTCTGCGCAATCGTGCTTGTGCATGGCACAGTTCTAGTGCACCCTTATATTTCCACACTGTCGACTTTTTAAAGAAGGCGCCAGATCACCGCATCATTGCGTCACATGCCACTGTTTGGCCTTACTCCACCGAAAGCTGCATGTGGCTTTTTTGCAATATTCGACCGAATATATTTGGTTGCTGAATATTCGGTGCATTCCTGGTAACCAAAGACATTTTAATAATGTGCATAATCTTGGCCTGTCAACATTCAGAAATTTATTAGTGAAATGCTCTTATTGTAATCTTATTTTTTTGCCACTAGATGTCACTCATTTGCATTTTTACATTTTACAGGCTGTCTCTGCCGAAAGAGAAACTCAAGTGAAAGCTTCTAGGCCCTCAGCTCCATCCGGACAAAAACGAACATCTAGGGAAAAAAGCAAAGATCTGGTGAAAAACAGCCATCACAGTAGCAGCAGCAGCAGAGAGGAGGAGAGGAGGAGAGCGGACAGAGAGAGGAGAGAGAGGGAATCCCGCGATCGAGAGAGGAGGGAGAGAGAACGCAGCCGAAAAGATAGAGATTACGATGAAAGAAGCAAGAGGGACTATGAGAGGGAGAGGAGGGGAGATCCGAGGAGGGATGAGTTGAAGAGGGAGGAGATGAAAAGGGCGTGGAGGAAGGAGTGGGAGAGGAGGGAGGAGGAGTGGGAGAGGAGGGAGCAGGAGAGGAGGGAGGGGAAGAGGAAACCCTACTCAGAGATGGACCACAAGAGGAGTGATGGCAACAGACGATCACATCACAGAGACAGAGACGAAAGACACAAGAGCTCCAGTGAGAGGAGGATGGTGAGTAACTAACAAGCCTGGTCTATGAATCCAGCTGAAGTTCTGCTACATGTTTACATTAAATGAAAATCAGAGTAGAATGCATCAATTTGATACTTGGTGTTAGTACTGTCTCTATTACTATAACCTTTACTTTGTGTGTTGGCATAAATATCTGGTATCATATATTAAACCAATCCAGGAAATTTGCTACAGTGGTTTAGAAAAATTGTAGAATACATTGAATTTGCTTCAGAATTTAACTTTTCATAACCAGGTGCTTGTCCAGACATTTTTTTCTGGCATGGCACCAGTCTATTGGGCAGTTATTTAGTGAACTGAATAGTGATTTTTTTTTTTCTTCTTTCCTGGAAATATCAAGCATGTCTGATTAAGGTTATGTTCTTGTTGGGTTATTCAAATGGAAGTGTTTTTAGATGCACCCAAAAATCATTTAAATTATAACACTGTGTGTTTTTACCGTCAGGATGAGGACAACTTCCCTTTTAGTCTGAGCGACTTTGTGACAGTGGACGAAGTGGGTGACATCGACAATGAAGCTCCAGATGCTCCTACAGAGACCGAAACTGGACCTGGGTTGGAACCTGGGCTAGAACTAGGATCTGAACTTGGACAAGAAACAGGATCTGAGCCTAAACCAGAGTCTGAACCAGGACTAGAGACCCAAACAGAACAGACTACTGAGACTAGACCATCACTGGAGACACAGGAGAAGGTGAGAATACTTAGCACTAGATTTCATTTAAAGGAGAAAGGTGTATTATGCAAAACTGACTTTGTAGAGCTTTTAACGGTGTTATAATTGTTTTTCCTCTTCTCATCTAGCCACTCAAAGTTGTATTTTCACTGATTCTTGCATTTTTGAATAATGTTTATATTTTTACTCTCCTGTATTCAAGGCACCATTACTCTGAAAATTCTCAATTTTCTCTGCCCCCCATACATGCTGCTCTCTATATATGTAGGATTCAACAGCCATTGGCGATTGTTTGTATTTTTAAGGTGTTATTTTAGTATTTAATTTGTGTTCCACAATCTAGACTGGTTTAGTTGATTGACTGTGACACTTCTGGTGTAGTATTCCATGTAAATATTTCAGTAAAATGACTGTCAGTGTTCTGTGTGTGTCTCTGTATGTGTGTAAATAGATTGTATTCTGCTCTTTACAGGCCCAGGATGTTTCTGTGGAGAATGTGAGCGTTGAAGAACCAGAGGAGATGGAGACGGAGATGAAAGTAAAGCCCGAAGAGCAGACGACAGAAGAGCTGACCAAAGAAGCCAGTGCCGTAGCTGGTATGTTAAGTTACATTTAATTTAGGTGCATTGTTTAACTTTTCCACTAGGGGGGGATGTTCCACAACATGCTTAAAAATGCCTAAAAAAACAAAAAAAACAACTTCACAGATCTGATCTGTAACTTGGCCTTGTGGCATCACTTGGTTCCATCAAGATGTATTAATGTAATACTATATTGTGGTAAAGCAGAACAGTTTCGACACAAGCATGTGGCAGGTCCACCACCAGAAAAGTTACATTGAGCACATTTAAGAATAGTTTTTCGTTTTAGATAGCATTTGCATATTCAGTTGAACTATTACTACATATTAGGATAGATTTGGTAAGGAAAAGAAGTAGGGCCCGACCAATATTATTCTTTTTTTTTTTAGATCTGATAAGATAGTGATAAAATAGGCTTTGGAGGCGCCTATATAACAGCCAATATATTTAGTGATGTAAAAATTCACTGTAAATCTACAATTGATTATAAAACTTAGGTCTGGCTCTATTTGATTTTAAGTTGGGTTTATTTAGACAATATTTACTGTTAGTTTTTCTCTTTACTGTCATATTTAAAGAGAGTAGGTAGTCCTAATGCCCTTTTTGCTATAGGCCTACATCGGTCGGACCCTAAAATAAGACTCCAATCTTTTAACATCCCATTAACACCAGTAGGGGGCAGTACAGACCAAAGTATTGTATTGTGTTGCAGACAATGTAGGGTAAAAATCTAATGGAATATTTGAGTGACTATTCTTGTAAATACTGAACACTTGACGTTGACAGCAGAAATGACAGAAGAGGAGCAGCCAGCAGAGAGCATTGTGACTGAGACCACGGAGGAGCCGTGCCCATCCACTACAGAAGAAACCAGTGAAACAAACCAGGAAGAACCTCCAAACCCAACGAAAGATGAAACACAGAAGGTAAAGATGTGATTTCAGACTTTACACTGTAAAAAAACAAGTTAAATGATTTAAATTCTGAATATTAATATTGATGTGCTTGTATGGGTTATATTATTTTATTTTGACTGGTTTCTAGATAACCGTTATTTTCATTACAATATTTTAAAGGTTAGGTTTAAACCTAGCTATAGCTATATTACACAAAATGGATTCTTGTGAGATTTAAGATATGCTAATATGTTGTTAGCCCATCAAACACTTAACTGGAGCTGTGTTTTGTTTTATTCACATGTGTTTGCGTAGTCCTTTATCTATATCTTAAAAGCTCAAAATCCTCTGTTCAACCTTATGGTGTAGTGAAGCGATAGTTTAAGTTAACACCTACCTTCTACCTTTTGTTCACTAGAGACTGGCAATTCCAGCGCTGAAATCATCCAGATGATTCTAGTGAAGGTGTTTGGAGTTTAAAACACCTGTATTACCACATGTTATCACAGGGTGGAACAGGGTGTTTTCGGTTTGAAAGAAGAATTAAGCCTAAATATGTCGGTTTTGTGTGTTAAACATGTGTGAATGAAATAAAACAAAACTCCATGTGTGATGAGGAAACAACATTATAGCATAAATCACAAAATGGCATAAAATAGATCCTTTTAATTTCAAGAATAAGTTTTTGATGTATTGCCTGTAGAGTGTGCAAAAATTACGTGGCGAAAATCACATCCTTAAATTGTCAAGCCCGAACACTTTAAATCTCATTGCTTAAATATTCTCAGGTCACTGTCACAATTCCAAAAGAGAAGGAGGAGGTGAAGGAAAAAGTGGCCACAACAGAAGACAAAGAGGAGAAACAAGAAACTAATGGAACTACTGCTCCCTCTGCTGGTATGTTTTGGATTGTGGGTTACTTTGTTTCCTTTTGCTGTACATTTTTATAGCTCTGCAAGGGGGACTGACAATTAATAATTTAAAAGATAGGATATTTAGTTTTAAATGGTGAAAATGCTGAAGATGAAACCTGTAAACAATAGTAATGGTAAATTTTAGCTTAACTTTCATGGCAAAGTTAATAGAAATGCTTTCTCTGTAGTCATAGGCACAGACTGACAAAATGTTCCAGGAATCATATTTCTTATTTTTCAGCAGAACCTGAAGCATCTGAAAACGGTGAAAAAGACCTGACAGAAGACGCTCAGAAAGAAAATACCCTGCCTCCGTTTGACCCCAACAGCTCAGTCGGTGCGAACTGATGTACTGCTTTATTTTACTGCGTAGTTATAGTATAACAATTATATATGTTCATGAATTAGTGTTAATAGGTTCTTCTGGTACTGAGCAGAAGTTTTTTGGAGATTAAGTCCAGATATATTTGACCCGGTAATGATGGATTGTAACTTGGTCTTGGTCAGGTCCTGGTTTGTCCTGGGCCAGTTTTGACTTAGGCTTTGTGTATTTTTGGTTTAGACCCACTCAAGTCCTGGTTGAGCTAGTTTAGTCTTACACTAGGGCTGTGTATCATTAAGAAGTTGCCGATACGATATATAAATCGATTCATAGACCACGATACGATACATATCTGGATATAGTGCAATTTCAATACGATATATTTCAAAACAGTTCAATCAAAAATAAAGGCTAAATCATGGCTGTGATACTAGAAGTCTTTGTTAAACCACTTCTTTTGCAAAGTTAATATGAAACACAAACATTTTAATCATCAGAACAGTGAAGATGTCAAATGTGTTGCATAAATGAGTTCCCTTCCTCTAAACAAACAACAAAACTGGAGCGCTTTAACTAAATTATTTTGTAAAATACACCAGAAAATACTCTTGGTGATATATTGATACAGCAGCCCACGATATCGATACTGTATCATCACATTAAACAATACGATATATTGATGTTTCAATATTTTAGCACACCCCTATCTTACACCTTATTGAATTTCCACTAGGATAATTTTCCCTTACTTTGTCTTCCAAAAAAAATAAAATAACAATGTATATCAAACCTCTCTTGCACAGCTCTAGAAAACAGTCTGTATAATTGTCAGCATGAGTGAGAAGATGAAATGTTAAAAAAAAAAAAAGTGTGTAAATGTATTTTGCATGACTTCGTGTGTTGTAGGTCTGGAGTATCTGGTGCCTATGACAGGTTTCTTCTGTAAAGTTTGCACTCGCTTCTTCACCGGGGCAAAAGACGCTCAGATCGGTCACAGCAAAACTTTGAAACATTACGAGAACTTACAGGTGAGCTCAGTACCTTTAGAAAGTAACAATGGATAAAGTGTATATTATATGTTGGACTACTTACTTCACAAAAACACATCATATTTAAGATTCTGTAATAAATACTTTTTTCTACTCTTCATTTTGGTCAACTTTATAATTTTACATCCTGTTTTGTTGGTAGATAGGACATATGCCAAAATAGTTTATTAATGACCTAGACCTATCGCTATTAATACTATATTGGTTTATATATGATGTATGTAACAATCATTTTAGGGGGTCAGTCTTTTAGAGGTATCTTTTTTCTTTGTACTAGTGGGATTTTTTTTTTTTTTTTTTTTTTTTTGCAATGTGTTAAGATTTGAGCTGTAGAAGGCTGAATTATGAACTTAAACTATACAATCTAATTACTTAAGTGTTTAATTTGTTATTCGTTAATTGCAGATCATATTTTTTTAACGTTAACAATTTAGAATACGTTTTGTTTGATCATTCTGCTTCATGGTTTGGTTTCAATATTGTTTCTTGTCTATATTTACTTGAGCAATTTATCGCACTTCAAAATGTGTCGTGACATGCCTCTATGTATATGCTTGTTATGACCACATAACAAGCTGGAATTAGTTTTCAGTATGTCAAGAAATGCTCACATCTTCTGTCAGTTACACAACATGAGGGCCAGACAATAAACATGCGCAATATGCTTTCTCATCTGTATTAAATATCATTATCTTATAGAATATTGTGTAACCCAGCAACAAACAGTTTAAATCTGGGACTAAGTGTCCAAATGGCTGCGGGGAAAAAACTGTGCCCATTTAATTGCATAATTGCTAGCTTGCAACCTTAATATTAACAATGACCAACTCTAAACTTGACAATAGTTATGATTACACTATAAAAGCAATCAATGACAACATATTTATTTTGGTAAATGAAGGTTTGAAATTACCAAAAAAACTCCCTCCTGTTCGCAGAAATTGTCCCTGAATGGAGGGTCTGTTTTAGAACTCACCTCAACTCTGTATTTTTGCATTTTTTCTTTTGTATATATTTTTCACACACTGCCACTTAAGTAAAACTTAAGATCAATATTTATAGGGATACATTGATCCAATACTGGCATTGGATATCGGCACTGATGCTAAAAAATTTGCTAGATTGAATATTGGCTTTCAAATCAGTTCTGCTGATTTCCTAGTTTGACATATAAATTGATATAATTAGACTATTTCCTGGTTGTAACTGGCCCAAAAAGTTTCATAATGTTTGAACTTTTGTTCAAAAGACAAAACACATTTGAATCAGTTCTGTCTGATATCGGGTAAGAAGCAGATAATCGAAGCTAGAGTATCTAAATCAGTATAAGAACTGAAAAAGCAGAATCGATCTATTTCTGTTTACCATAGGCACTATCCCACCAAACTAAGCTATAATTAGAAAAAAAAACAACCTCAAAACATGTCATATGCACTCCATCTAATCCAAATGTATTGTAATATATTTTTATTATAATATACATTTTTGTTTTGCAGAAATTCTTGAAGATTTCCACCTCCATGGATGAAGCCGCCTCTAACTGAGTTGACAGGATTATTTTTTATACAAAGACTTGCCATTCCCTTCATTTGCAGTATTTTATTTTGAAAGGACTGCTGTATTGGTTACATGTGCTTTATTTTGTAATTAACTGACCAACTGGTGTAGTATGTCCACAAACTATTTAATATTAATAAATGCGTTGTTTGGAATCAGACAGTGTGTTGCCATTATAAACAGAGGTTTTGCACTTATGTCATTTGGGATTAACTGAATTCACACACAGTAACACCTAATAACATATTTGGGCTTTTGAGTATCACCAGACCTAAATCAAGTATAAAAGAGGACTATTCTCAGTCTAAATTAGGGTTAGTGGACTAAAATACAATATGACTACACATTTGTACTAGTTTAAATGCAGAACAACCCCAGAGAGGACAAACATGAATTAAACTGACTTACACATTTTTTGGAATGTACCACCATAGTTTTAAATACAGACCATAGAACTAAATTGCATTTGAATAGTTTCTGACTGTGTTAAATAAAGTGCTGGCGTAATCCTATTGTTTTGCAAGTTCCAATGGAGCATTATAGCTGCAGTTCATGCTTTTATTTGCATGTCTCTGTCACAATAAACATTAAAAAAATCACTCACCAGAAGTGGAGCCGATTTAAAACATGCACAGTGGCCTAGGTACTCTTGACTACTAACCTGTGCTTTAAACTCTATGGTGAATCTAGACAGGCTGGCGCCACCTAGTGCCTCTGCTCAATTTCATTTCTCTCCAGCGACTAGGTTAAGAATCAGAATACACTAGTCGGTTTGGAAGAACCCCGGAATTGCGAGTTCGGGCACCAGACAATCAGCGAAGAGTCATACATTCTGTGCAGGCAACGATTCCCGAGATCGAGGATTTAAAGCTGGAACAAAGAGAATGTTCGGTAAATTTTATCAATTTTTACTGCCCTTCTTCCTACGGGATTTGGGAAATACTTAATATACCAGTTAGCGGCGCATTACATACGTCACGACCAAATAGCAGCAACTGGTTAAATGAAAAAAAGTACCCGCTTACTGTCAACACTGCGAGGTCAGACGGTTTCTATGAAGTGAAACTGGCGGATGAATCAGGCTATGGTCAACCATGAAAATGTGGAGCTGATAAACCAATACTTGTACTCATGTAAGAAATTCAAGAAATGACTCAAGTAAGAGTAAAAGGATATTTGAGGAAACTACTATTAAGAGTAACTTAAAGAGTAACTGTTGGGGTATAACTGTTAGAATAACTAAACCATATTTGAAGGAGTGGTAGATGAAACACAAATCTTCAAATCATTTCATATTGTCAAAGTTTTTGTCATTGTAGACTTGCACACAGTGGGACGAGTAACCTTTTGTAGAGTAAGAGTACTGGTACATCAATTAAAGTATTACAAGCAAAGGTAAAGGTATTCTAGAAAAGTACTCTAAAAGTACTTTTCTAACTAAGTATTACCCACCCCTTTCTGTAATTTGGCATTCATTGTAGACCAGTGATACATTAGCCTAATACAGGGTTGTATTCAAAATCTAACTAACTAATCGATATTCAAACTAGTAACTTAAAAAGAACGTAAAGTGCAAGTAAGTTAACAAGTATAAGAGAACATAGACTAGTATACACCCACGGACCACTATGGAACCTACCTGGACCACTGAGGGATTTCACACATATAAGACCACATAAGTGATATAAAAGAAAGTACTATGATTTAATGTTGAAAATTTCATTCCATTGTCAAAAGAAAATTGTTACTGAAGAAAATTTTTTATCATCATGGTATTGGAATCGGTATTGAGGATTGAGTCTACTCCTTAGTCTATTCCTTGTGTCAAAATTGAGTATGAAATTTTGTATCGTGACAACACTAGCCTCATGTTTAAACCATTATACTGCCATTGTGCCTTTGAGCATGAATGATAACATCTAATTTATTCACATTACTATGCAGCGTGTAACATGTCAAAGCATTGTCAGTGGAAAAAATAACATTGGAAAATCCTCTTAGCTTTGGTTAAAAATTGAATTATTCAAATAAAATGCAAAACCACTGGCTGCAATTTTCAGAATCGTCTACAGATCATATCACGCAACACCCAGACCAGGTGAGGAGCTGTTTCATTCTGTAAATTATTAAGAATTTCTGAACATTTTTTTTTTTTTTTTTCACATATTCGTTCATTTTACTGTTTACTGTTTTAATTTAGTTGGTCAATAACTCAACAGATTCAAACCTGCTCTGTGTATTTTTTTTCTTTTTAAGGATCCACCATCTGCTTGTTTCCATGGATACTATTGCTTTTGCCTGAAATGTTCCACAGTGTAACTCAGATCTTTAGTCCTGGTTTCAATTTATTTGTGTCGTCCTGCCCAGGTTTTGTTGTGGTTAATTTTGGATCAATCCCGGATAATATTGTAGTTCAGTTTATGTTTACAATTTGTGTTTTATTGCTTAAGATTTGGTTTAGTTCTGAATTGGATGTGGTTAAAGCTACACTGTGTATCTTCTTTGGTTAATGGTATGTTACCTGGTTGTCTCCATGCAGTTATTGCTTTGTTTAGAACAGGAGTCTCCAACCTTTTTCGTCTGGTGAGCTACCCTTATAAAACAAAAATGTCGGAAAGCTACTCATTATAGAGCTTGCAAAAAATTGAGTAAATATAAGAGCCATGGGATACAGTTTGATGCCTTTAAAACATTTACACAACTATTATCCATTTATTAGTGCACAAAGACAGGCGTCTCAAATGATTTACATTGGTAATTGGCATTGAATCAAATAAAATTTTAGTTATTCGGTGCAATACATATGATTCCGAAATCCTTTGGTGAGCTACTTGGAATGAGGTAGAGAGCTACTGGTGGCTCCCGAGCTACAGGTTGGAGACCCCTGGTTTAGAATGTTGCACAGTATGACACTCATCTCTTGCAGACAGGCAGGTGGTGAACTCTTCACAAGTTTAATGCAGCTTTAAGTTTAAACATTAAAGGTCCTATATTACGCAAAATTGACTCTTGTGAGCTTTAAGCCATGTTATGATGCTGTTATTCTCTCAAAAACAAACCTGGAATTGTGTTTTGTTTCATTCACACATGTTCTAATACTGGATTATGAGTCAGTCTGTATCTCCAAAGCTCAAAATGCTCTGTTCCACCTTATGATATCATGTAGTGGTAGTTTTCTAGTTAATAGCTATGCTTTAGTTCAGTAGGGATGGACAGTTCCAGGTTTGATATCAGCCACATGATTCTGGTGAAGGTGTATGGAGTTTAAAAACAAGAACGCAGATGAAACAAGCAGGTTTTGTGTGTTAAACATGCGTGGATGAAACAAAACACAACCCCAGGTATATTTTTATGAGGAAACTACATTATAGCATAGATCAGAAAATCTGAAAAAAAAAAACTATTATTTTATTATTTTTATTTTATTTTGCACTAAATAAAAAATAAAAAAAAACTATTAGTATTTATTTAGCAATACACATTTAGGTGCCTTACTTTTTAATGTGCAATTTACCCATTGTCTCACTTTGTTTCAGATTTGGTGGAAAAATGGCCACCAACTCCACTGCTCCCTTGCCCCTGTCAGCTGGGATGTACTTCTACTTAGTGGTCTCTTGTACTGAATATTTCATTGCTTTTCCTGTCAACCTCTGGGCCCTGGCTCTGATCATTTTAAGTAAAAGAAGTGCAATAGAAACTGAGATTTTGACCCTCAACCTTCTGCTGACAGAGACCATATTCTCTGTCTTCTTCTTCTTGTGGCTGGTTCAGTTTTTAACTACAATCATGTTTTCTGTCGGTCTCACCAACTTCTATCAAGGCTCAATAACTGTGGCAAGAACCCTGTTTCAGTGGTACCTCTGCATCGACCGATACCTGGCTGTGGTCCATCCCGTAATATTCATCAGGTACTGTAGCTGTTGTCATGGTAACACAGCATGGTATAACAGTTTATTTAGTTTTAATACCTTTTTTCAGATACAGACAAATGAAGTACCGCCTGGCCTGTCTTGTCCCGTTGTGGATCATTGCCATTGGTACGTTTTGATTCATCATCTTCTTTCACCGGTCTGAGCAGAGAGTTCCAGGCTTCCCTCTTCCCAGACACTTCCTCCAGCTTTTATAATCGCTCTCTGGCCACAACGTGAAATGTGAGGCACCCAGAACAGATTTGGAGAAGCAGCAACTCTACCCCGAGCTTCTCTTTTTTCATACAAAATGCAGAGACAGTTACGGGCAAGGAGGGTATTTTTCAGTCAGTTAAAACAACAAGGAAAGTTTATTTGTATAGTACATTTCGTATACAAAGTAATTCAAAATGCTTTACAGAATAAGAAAAAAATTTTTAACCACAATAAAAACAAATCAAAATATAAATAATCATCATAAAATTAAAGATTAAAATAAAAAAGAGAGAGAGACATTCATTACATAAATTAGGGAGAAAAATGGGGAATGAAAACCTTTCAGTCATATGCACAGCTAAACAGAACTGTTCTGAGTCAGCATTTACACAGCATCACAGAAGAGTCTGTCTCAGGAAGACTGTTCCAGGTTTTAACTGTGTGAACCTGAAACGCTGACTCCCCATGTTTAGTCCTGACTCTGGGCACCAGCAGGAGGCCGGTCCCTGAGCTCCTCAGAGTGTGAGATGGTTCATAAGGCACTAAAAAGTCACAGATGGACTTTGGTGCTCGGCCATGGAAAGACTTGTACACAAGCAGAGGTGCTTTAAAGTCTCTGAGCCACAGGAAGCCAGTGCAGAGACCTGAGGACAGGATGTATGTGCTCATACTTCCTAGTTCGAGTAAGGACCCGAGCTGCAGAGTTTTGGATGTTCTGCAGCGTCTTGGAGAGGCCAGTGAGCAGATCATTACAGTAGTCTAACCTACTGCAGACGAATGCATGGATAAGTCTCTCCAAGTCTGCTTTAGACAGTAAACCTTTGACTTTTGCTCTGTTTTTAGATGGTAAAAGTCTGCAGATGTTATTGATTTGATGTGGCAATTTAAGTTCAAGTCTGAGTCCATTTTTAGCCCTAGATTTCTTGCCTGATTTGAAGGGGAGGATGTCACCATGCCAAAAACTGTACTCAAGTAAGAGTAACCATAGTTCAAAATCAAATTAAAAACAAAACAAAACATTAAATAATGCACAAAATCTGTTATTGTCAAAGGATAGACAAAAATGAGAAAAACCCAATTATATCTGAAGAAGCAGTGCAAGAAACACAACTGTTCAAATGTAAATGAGCATTACCCACCTCTGCAAATATGTTATAGTGAAATTATTGGTTTAACTTGTCATATGCAACTCTTTTCTGCTTTTCTTTTGGGCAGCTTGTGGTCTGAACAACGTCTTCTTCGTCATGAACCCGATGTTGGTCTCCATCTGTGGCCTGACCATACTGGTGCCCACCCTCTCCACTGAGATCCTGTTCAGTCTGGTTATAATCCGGATCCTGAGAAAGTCTGGTCCAGGAGAGAAGAGAGAAACAGAGGGGAACGCACTGAAGAGGAAAGCTGTGAGGATCATCACTTTTCTGGCTCTTATGGCTGTGGTCAATAATATCACTTTTATTTTGTTTCCAGTGTTTGACCTGACATCCTATGGTAACTTCTTCCCTGTAGCTTTGGCCCTCAGCACTGTGGGGAGTTCAGCCCACGGCTTTTTGTACTTGGGCCGAGTCAGGAGGTTACAATGCAATTAGATACAGAGAATTCATTTCATATGGCTGTCTTTGACTAATGGATTAAAAATAGTACACACTTGTTACAAAATGGCTCAGTATAGCATTAAAGTCCTGTATTAAATTTTAAAAATGACTTTTGTGAGCTTTAATCCACGTTATGATGCTGTTACCTCCTCAAAAACATCCCTGGAGTTGTGTTTTGTTTTGTTCACACACCACCTTATGATGTCATGTAGTGGGAGTTTTCATGTAAAAGCTCTTTTACCTTTAGTTAGAGATTTAGAGATTGGCGATTTCAAGGCTGAAATGGTCAAAATGATTCTAGTGAAGGTGTATGGGTTTTGAAAACACAGCAGAGCCTGCATCACCACATGACATCAAAAGGTGGAACAGAGTTTTGAGTGAAGAACTCAGCCAGGGTTTGTGTGTTAAACAAGTTTGAATGAAACAAAACACAACTCTAGGTATATAGATCAGAAAATAGCGAACAATGGAGCCTTTAAATCTGTCTTTCATTTAATGCATTCAATTACATGTGGTTTTATCCCAAATAAAACTTGAAAAACATGCATGTTTCTTATTAAGTGGGGTTGACACTCCACAGATCTGACTTGTAACTTCATCTAGTCCTATAAAGCCTGACAAATGAAATAATTGACAGAAAATTCAGATTTTTTGATATTTAACTCATTTTTGGACCTTTGAACAAAATGTAAAATAAAATAAAAAATAATAAAAAATTAATAATAATGATAACTTTGACCATTTTAGAAATAAAAAAATATATCATATTTGATACGTCAGGCCTTTATGGCAATTTTATAGAACCCAACCATGTTTATTTTAAGGACCAAATTAAATTTTCTTTGATGCATTTAGAACTCAGAAAAACCTTTCTGAACATTTCCTTTTATGTTTTTAAATGTCTGAACAGGATGCTTTTTATTTTGCCATGTGGTGGCGAGAAAACAGTTTGGGTCCTTGTTCAAGGTCAGATGTACATTACATTTCCCACCATACACTTGTGTGAAATGATTATAAATATATGTAAAAAATAAATGAGTGAATCCTTTATATCCTCTGAATAAGTAAAATATATATTATTAGTGATTTTGTGTGTAAAATTGAAGAGGCAGCACAATTACTACCAAACAGATCATTACACCATTCATTTATATACAAGTCATGTAAAGATCAAAATTCCACCATTCTGCAATAATAATAATAATAATAATTATTACTATTATTATTATTATTATTATTATTATTATTATTATTATTATAGAAAATATATTTTTTATTTGACATCTTAGTTATGAAATACAAACAATTGTGTGGTGTTAAGTTTGCATGGAATTGCATGAATTATGCAGATTGCATCATAAATTGCATTATAGCGATGGATGAGGAACATAATCACAAAGACCTGCTATATCAAATTTGATACATACAATTTTAACATGATTTTTCTACAAAATGAAAATAAAAATATTAAGACTTCATAGATTAATCTAAGAAAGTAAATGTTCATATTGGAGAATCACTAACAATATTTAGGCAATTCTTACACTAACCTTTTCAAAATTTACAAAGTTGTTCCTCCAAAAACAGAGAAAGTCACGCCCACCAATATGGCCATTCTGAAAATGTCTCCTCTGAGCCTGTTATTTACTGACAACCATGGAAAGCCCACTAGGGGGCAGCTGACAGGTATTTAATTATATACTACAGGTTTTTCAGGAAAAATATTGATTATGTGGGTGGGCAGAGGTCTCAGAATGTTGTGTATCAAATATGATACAAATGGCTTTATAAGGCTAGTAAAGGCACCTGCCTGACAAGTTCGATGCCGTAGAACATACCTTTAGAGAGATTTACACAACTTAGTTTGAGATGACCTCATCTCACAAATCTAACAAAAGAACTACAGGAAATGAAAGTTCAGACCAGGAACAATACAATATCTTGTACATTTTCTGGTTACAGTTAAGGTCAAGGTACATTTTATTGTCCTATGCATTTGACTCATCCTTCAAAGTCACTGTGCCAACACATCAGGAGCAGTGGGACCAATCTCCATGATCTTGTTGCTAGTCTTGGTCAGGACTACCTTAGCTGGTGGATTTTATTTACGGTGCATGTTTTGGAGACCTGAGAGTCAAACCTGGAACCTTCTTGCTGTGAGGCGTGAGCACTAGCCACCACCCCGCATTTTCAGAGACACTATCTACTAAAAAAGCCTTGTTATTCTGCATATGTTTATCATATCATCATGATACCTGTTGTATGCCATTCTGTTAACCTCAGTGAATCAGTAATTGTGAATCATTCAACATAATAAAATTCAATAACCATTTAATAAAAAGAAAAAATTGAGGCAGATATTAGTTCAGTTCAGCAGTGGTGCTTACTCAGGGTGCCCACTCTTTTTCACTGACAAAATTTCAAAACTTTTCCATAACTTTTTCCATGACCTACAGTGAATTTTCCATGACTTTACGGCACCTACATGTATAGAATTGATCAGACTTTTAAGGCTAAATATGAAATGTGAACCCTTTCCACTCACCTTATGGTTTGGTATTATAGTTTTTTCAGGGTGAAAAAATGCATAGCACACTCGGTTGGCCGATGTCCAAATACTTTTTTATTAACAAAATAACGTTTCGGCAAAAAAAGCCTTCATCAGATATTTTTTTCTTGTCTTGGACCACAGCACACAAAATGGTTGCCAGCCCAGGTGCCCATATACCCACTCAATGAATGGGAGGTCCCAAAGTGAGGTCATCCAGTGAGTTCAGCCCATTATAGTTTTTTAACATTCAAAATACTGTCAGTGCATTTATTGTTGTCTCTTTTAAACAAAAGGCACATACATTCAGACATAATCATAATAACCTAATGAGAACTTAACAAAACACTGAAGTTGTGTGAAAGAGATACTAAAATTCCATGACTTTTCCAAAATTTCATTGAATTTACAAAATTCCATGACTTTTCCAGGATTTCCATGACCACTGGAACCCTGTTTACTGTTATTATTGTATCAGAAAAACGCAGCTAATAATACAGTTGTTATATGTCTGTACTTTGATGTAAAAAAGGAGACACAATGAGGAGAGAAGAGACGAGGAGACTAGGAGATAGGAGACATAGAGAGGACCAAAAGAGAGTTACATTTTTATAAAGCAAGACTCCTGCAGAAGAGCTAGAATTTCATGTATTAAAGGTGCACTGCGTAACTTCTGATTGTTTCCATGTTATTGCTTTGCCTGAAATGCTCCAATATATCCATAGCATTTTTTTCATTACGGATGTTTCTGTTGCTCAAAAATACACAAATCCTTCTGTAAATAGGGGCGTTGCTCCACAGATCTGAACTGTAATAAAGCGTAGTGCTGTAACCTGCACCTTTCTCAATACATGAATTCATATTTTGATTTTGCACACACGTCATCGTAACCACGATTAATTTTCATATCCTTGTTAGTTTAACCACGTTTATAGTTTAAGGGAGAGTACGTTTTACCTGTTAAGTTATTTTCTGCGCCGAGCTGCCACACCTGTTGAGCTGGTCGGGTCACATGTGCTTCAGCGCTTGGGAGGGGGAAGAAGATCACTGCAAAAAGTCAAATCTAGACACGTTTGTATTATATTTCATTTTGTCTCTTGTCTGCAAAGAAATTAAAGTCAAAAAATGTAAAAAGAAAGAGACACAGGTTGGAGAGAGGTGGTGAGTTTTTGGTGAAACTATCTCCCAATGAGCACAACTTTACCTTAAAATGAATAACTTGGTTGAATAATAAAACAAAAATCTGAAAGTTGAACCACACTTTGAAACTTTGTCCACAGAGATAGATACGTTTAATGCCATACTGCGGAATATTATATCCAAATGAACAGCATTTCTATGAAAACAAGCAGGGGGAGGTTTTCTATTTTTATTTCTTGGAGATGCAAACCTGCTCACAGAAAAGATGCATGTACTTCTCATAATGTAACTTTATTTTAGACTATTTTAGGGCAAAAATGACTTACTATAGCTTTAAGTAATTTGAACTTAAGATGTTGCAGAGAGGGGGAGAGAGAAGGACGGAGGGAGGGTGGGGTCACTTCACATTCACAATAGCTCAGAGGCTGGTGACGGGAAAGAGAGATTAAGCAGCAGAGAGCAAGAAGAACTGGTGTACAGATGGAAAACTGATATCACACTCTGAGAAACACACACACGGATACTGCAGCCAACCAGGTAAGATCACTTTCAAATCATTACACTTTATTTTAGACTTGTGTTTCAGAATGGTGACAAATTATGATTATTAAATATTTTAAATAAACTATCTTCTCAAAATGTGACCTAACAGAAAACGGAAACAATAGCTTACATAGCAGTTCTTTGTTAAGTTTATGATAAGATTTGTTTACCTGCAAGCTTTGGTTGAGTAAATAATAACATTAAATACGGTTTTGTAATGTTTAATATTTCGTATTTTCTAATATTTAAGTGTTTTCTTCATGTGAATTTAGTCGTGTTTAAGACTATACAGTAGTTTCTAATATTACTAAGGCCACAGCATTTCAATTAGCCATAAGTTAAGTTGTGTTTTTTGTTTTTAAGTTGTGAATTTAAAGTTTTAGATTGGACAATATAATATAATAATACTATAAGTGCTTTGTGTTGCATTTTTTGTATGAAAATTGCTCTGTAAATAAAGTCTGATTGATTGATTGACTGATAATATTAGAATATATAGCATATTTAAAGAATAGCTGCATTATATTGTGTCAAATATATGTTTATTTGCCTATTCAGAAAGAAAAATACATCACATTGGTTAGTGGCCTGGTACATTTTACTACTATGAAATCCATCTGAGCTGATGTGGTTCACCGGAGTATTTAATTATAGGTGTACTATGGAATGTTTCTGGTAGAGGCTACGTCACCTGCTATCTCCATGGAGCTTGTTCTTGCTTTGCTTCGAATGTTCCAAAATATGGCATTAAACATATCAGTCTATTTTGTGTTTAATCAGTTAAAAGTGTTTTATTGCTCATAAATACCTTGAAAAACACGTATTGTTACTGTGAGCGGATTCGCCTCTCCACAGATCTGACTCAAAGTTTCCCCTAATAGTGTCACCTTCTTGTCTCCATGGTAATATACACATTTAATATTGTCATACTGTGGAACATTTAATTCAGTACAATAACAACTATCCAGAGGCAAGGTTAAGGTTCAGTTAATGTAGTTGCTAAGTCTGAATCATTGTTAATTAAGGGGTTAGGAGTTAGGGTGTTAATGAATTACTAAGCCTTAATTATTCTTCTGTTTGTTGGTTATAAATTAAGCCTTTCTTCATGCTTTATTATGACCAATTCATGTGTAGTTATTATTAAGTGTTACCAAATATGAATGAAACTAAATAATTGTACTGTTTTCTTGTTATTTTTAAATGTATTTATTTTTTGATACTCATAAATTCAATCATGTTTGTTGATTTTTAGTGGTTACTTTTCAAAAAAATCAAAGGAATTACATTGCAATTTTGACTTTGAACTGCATAGTATTAGTAAAAAAAAAAAAATAAAAAGAAAATTAATAAAAAAAAAGCATAATTACACATAAATGAATCCATATAACAACACAAACAATTAAAAAAAAGCTGTTTGTAATTATATGTCATGTTGTTTACACTACAATATAATGCAACTCAGTGTAAAAGGATTCTAAGTATTTAGAATACTTAAAGCAAGTATTCAGCATTCTGTAACTAAACACATTTTTAAAGGTGCATTTAAAGGTGTTTTGCATAACTGGAATGTCCCACAGTATGACATTAAAAACAGCTCTACCTTACATTTATTCAATTCTAAGTGGTTTTATAGCTCAAAAATAACTAGAAAAACAGGCACTCTGACAGTGAGTTGGGTTACGTCTCCACAGACCTGACCTGTAACTTGGTCTGGTTTGGTCTCTACGAAGACATAAAGGTTTAATACCATATAAACATTTAAGACGAGGCAATAACATCTCCATGGAGAAAAGCATTTGACAGGGCCTTCCACCAGCAAAGTTACACAATGCACCTTTAGTTTTCTTCATATCATTGACGTCAATACAGTAATGACAGTTGCCACATGTCATTTACATGTTAAGTCCATGAGAAACAGAGCAAAGTTCAGTCAAGCAAAACTTTACATGAGTGAAGCAGGGAGACTGGTTCATCTGCGTTCCTTTAAGACACGAGCCAACTACATGCACACGCCAACAAAACAAAGTAGGCCTAAGGTTTTATAATTATGCATACTGTATGTAACTATACTTTATGGTGTCAAAAATGCATACTAGTACTTTAAAATAATATTACTCATGTGAAGTACAAAGTTGTGATCCAAGAAACCACTCAAAAAATTGTATTTGAGAAGAGTCCTATCCAAGTAAGACTAACTTAAAGGTGCACTGTGTAACTTTTCTGGTAGTAAGAATACATGTCTTTGTGGTAGTTTTGAGAAGTAAAATACTAGATACTAGATTTGTTTAATGTCATACTGTGGAACATTCCAGTCAACGCAATGACATCTCCGTAGCCCGGCTGGTGCCACCTAGTGCCTGCGCTGAATTTAATTTCTCTCCAGCGACTAGGTCAGGAATCAGAATACACTTGACGGTTCGCAAAAACTTCGGAAGTGCGAGTTCGGGCACCAGCCAATCAGTGAAGAACCATATATTCAGTGTTGCCAATGATTCCCGCGATCGAGGATTTAAAGCCAGAACAAAGAGAATGTTTGGTGAATTCTATCAAGGGGAAAGACATTATTGCCCTTCTTCCTACGGGATCTGGGAAAAGTTTAATATACCAGTTAGACTCGTTAGCGGCGCATTACATACATCAAGACCAAATAGCAGTGACTGGTTAAACGATAAAAAGGACCGGCCTACCATCGAGTGAACGAATTCTAACACTGCAAGGTCGGACGGTTTCCAAGAAGTGAAACTGGCTGATGAATCAGGCTAACATCTCCGTGCACTGTTTAATTTCCGGGAACAGGGTCCACCACCTGCACGTCTCCATGACGATGTGATTGTTTTGCCTGAAATGTTCCACAGTACAGCGTTAAACTTTTCTATTTTACATTTATTCCATTACAGGTGTATTTATTGTTTAAAAATGCCATGAAAAACAGGCATTCTTACAATACACTGACACGTCTCTCCATAGATCTGACCTATATTTTGGCCTAATTTCATTTCTGCTTATTTTAATTGAGATGCATGAGTATAATGCTTCACTGTGGAACATTTCAGGCAAATCAATAGCAGCTCAATAACAGTATTTTGAAGAAAAACAACAATATTTGAAGGAGCGGTGCAAGAAACAAATGTTCAAATCATTTCATATTGGTCAACATAAAGCTTTTGTCACTTGTTGACTTACTCACAGTGGGAAAAGTAACCAAAACTTTTACTCGAGTAAGAATACTGGCACCGTTACTATTTCTAGTGTAGTATTACGTTCACAGTGTTTCAAAATAGCTTCTTTTTCTAGCAGGTTAGATCTTGTCATGTGGAAAACCCACTCATCATTTTTAACTGATCATTTTATCTCAGCTATGTTAAGTATGCCGGTTCACTTCATACTTCGGTACGTATATATGATTCTGTTCATGGGAAAAGGTACGTTGAGAGAAAAGACAAGTCATAAAAGGGTCAAAATGCTCGGTTCCCCCTTGTGATGTCTTTAAGTAGTTACCCATGTTGCTGAAGTCCATGATTATTTCTCGGATTGCATTTTTAATTCTCTCAAACTGAAAACACTCTGTCCCACCTTTTGATGTCATGTGATGATACAAAAGTGCTCCACCGTGTTTTTAAACTCCATACACTTCCACTATAATCATTTGGATGATTTCAGCCCACTTCCATTGAACTAAACGTAAAAGGTAGATGTTAACTACCATTACATGACATCACAAGTTGGAACAGAGCATTTTGAACTTTGGAGATGTAAACAGACATAAACTAGGATTACTCAAACATGAATGAAACAAAACTCCAGGTATGTTTTTGGTGAGGTAACTGCATTATAACATGACTTAAAACTCACAGGAATCCATTTTGTGTAATATATCAAATAATTTGAGAATCACTGGAGGATATTTTTTGGTAATACAGTTTTTTCAATTGCTGTTTACATTTTGAATTAGCTTGGCATATCTAACCATGAAGATATTGTTTGTAACCTTGTTTAAACTGCTTAACTTAATTGATTTTGAGGACACTAGTTGGTAAACTGATGGTAAACAACATTAAAACTGTCACCTCTATGACTCTGCAATATCAAATAATAGTTTTGTGGAAGAACAAACGTAAACAAAACGGTAATTAATCAGAATGTGCGGAATGGATGACACACACGGACAGTAAATAATTAAAATCTCAAATTTCAGCGGCAACATTACTTCAGATTACATACTCAATGACAAACGTTTTTGAATTGTTGCCAAAGTCATAAACAATTGAAACCAAGCTATTATACTTTTGAATGGGAAAAAGTCTTCAAAATGCACACAGCAGAAAGCTAATACCAGTGGATAATGTCAAACCATTATATTATGCTATCATTCCCTCAGTACAAGATGTCCTTTAGTGTACTACGTGTGATTCATAGATTATTTTATGAATGGTTATCTGTACTCTCAGCTTGTAGTTCTTGATAATGATCAGTATTCTTGTTGTTGCAGTAGCAGTGGTTTCTATTGGTGGTTTTCAGATTCTAGAATATGGTTATTCTCTAAGATCTATTAATAACACTGTATTTTCGTGTTAAATATCCAAAAGGTAAATGCATAAATGTCACTCGAATTCACTATAACAAAAATCTGCATCAGTACTAAAGGGGGCGGGGGTATTACACTTCTATGTTTTATTAATTGCTGACACGTAACATATTTAGGTCGCCCTGTTAAATATAATGTATAACTATAATTTTTTTCATTTTTGACACTCACTAGTTACACTTCTGCACATCATCGCATCAGGTTTATGATGTTCTAGTGTATTATTTTGTATAGTGTTTTTGTATATCTATAGAAAACTGTTGTGTGGGAGCATGGGTGATGTAGGTTTCTGGGCTGAGCATTGCACAAAATCTTACTCCTAACCATGAAGAGAATTAGAATAGGGCCTGGGAGAGATCACTAGATTACTCAAACATGCATGGATGACATACATAAAACCACTTCAGGCATGTTATATCATGGTAGAAAGCTCTAAAAAGTAGATTTTGCATAATACCCCTTCTTTATTTTTAGCTGCCTCCATCTGTATTCAATATTATTGGATGACAGAATGCAACTCAGCAATCATAAATGATTTCTAGATGATTTTGTGATGTATTTTGTACTCTGGGCTTGCACAGTGTTGATGATTGATGGCTATGATTTATAACTTGAGTTGTGATGGTCTGTTGTTATTGTAGCAGTGGTTTCTATTGTCTGTTATGGAGCAGGTGGCAGAATCTTTCAAACCCAACCATAAACATAGCTTTGAGAGATCAAGAAATACTGGCTTAGGCTGTCAGCACTGCCTCCATTCATGACTCCACACTTTCTGTTGACTCGATATGTAAAAAAAACACCTCTTGTATCTCTTGAAACTTGATCCTTAAAGATACTATATGTAACTTTTCTGGTGAGAGCTACGGCACCTAGTTTTCTCCTTGGATATGTTATTGATCTGCTCAGATAGAATGTGGTAGAATGTAACAAAGTAAAAGAAGTGAAGTACTTTAAGTTTAAAAAAAAAAAAGGTATCTGTACTTCACCTTATTTAAGAGAAGGTATCTGTACTTTCTACTCCACTACATTTTAACTGGACTGATAAGTAAAAGCATTTTATTATCAAGAGTTACATGAAATACTTTTACTTTTTAATCTTGAAGTATATTTTTTTGCTCTGGTATCTGTATCAAAATCAGGTCATTCTTCCAGCACATTGAAAAACATGCATTCTTACTTCTGACCTGTAACCTGTCCTGGTGGTGCCTCCTGTCTGTCTCTATGAAGATAAGTTTAATGACAAACTGTGGAATATTCCAGGCAAAGCAATAACAGGCAGAGTAATCCAGGCTGGCGCCACCTAGTGCCTCCACTCAATTTCATTTCTCTCCAGCAACTAGGTCAGGAACCAAAATGCAATAGACGGTTTCGCAAAAACCCTGGAAGTGCAAGTTCGGGCACTAGCCAATCAGCGAAGAGCCATATATTCTGTGTTGGCAACGATTCCCGAGATCGAGGAGCAAAGAGAATGTTTGGTGAATTTCATCAAGGGGAAAGACATTATTGCTCTTCTTCCTACGGGATTTGGGAAAAGCTTAATATACCAGTTAGCCCCGTTAGAGGCGCATTACATACGTCACGGCCAAATAGCAACAATTGGTTAAATAAAAAAAGTACCCACCTTTCATCAAGCGAACGAATTCTAACACTGCGAGGTCAGACGGTTTCTACGAAGTGAAACGAAGTAAAACCGGCTGATGAATCAGGCTAGGGCAGAGATCCCTCTACCAGGAAAGTTACGTAGTCAACTGCTAGTGCAAAGTTTTATTTTTTTAGCGCAGTCACTATAGCAATTAGTAATGCAAAATAAATAGCCTGGTGATACTTTGCAGCTGATGTCATCAACATTCCCTGGGGGTGTGACGTTGACTCAAAGCACTACTCTGTTTGAAGATCTGTCACTTAAGATTGACTTAATCTGAGCTTCATTTTAGCACAGTCTGACCAGAAAGAACTGACTTGGTTGGAATTAGAGCAGGTGAGATGATTTGCGCTTGTAAACAGGTCCATCTCAAATAAAATTTACAGTCATAAGCTCACAGTGTTTGCTAATGTGTGCCATGGTAACTGCTGAGTTAGTATTAATAAGCAGGAAGCTAAAACCAACTATGATTTTGCATCTAATCTAACAGGTACCACAAGCTACTTCTACTTCAGCTGAGCAATATTTTTAAAGAAGCAATACTACAGTTCATAATATTTGGGTAATTCTCCCTTGTGCAAAAATGCATTACCAACATGTTTGTCTGGTTGAACATGCTTTAAATCCACACTGTCTCCTAAATCTCTCAGTGATGACAAGTTCAAGTTCATGTTTTTGCCTAAAGGCATTGTGGGAAGTATGCTAGAGTGTTCACAAGAGTCAGTTTTGTGTAATCTTTGTCTCCCTCTTTCTCTCACAGAACATAAAAAGATGGCGTTACCTGCAGCCTTTCTGTCTGAGGACCAGTTCTCCTGCTCCATCTGCCTCGACATCTTCAACAACCCAGTGTCCACACCATGTGGTCACAGCTACTGCCAGGTATCAGAAGTGCACTTTATCAAATTCATTAAGTTTCAGATTAACTTACTTGGCCTGGATCCTTTGACTCATTTCAACACATTGCATTTAATTTTAATCTTTTAATTACACAAATGACAGTGAGGTAAGATTGATGTTGGGTTTATTTTGTTGTTTCAAGCCATAGTCTTTATGTTTAAATCTTATACTTACATTAGATTGATTTATTCAAATTAATATTTAGAATTCAGATCATTTCAATATATGCAATTTGAAAAGTAAGTTCATATTTACTCTTTATAGCTGATTACGTTACATTAAAACATAGCTTGGACATGCCTGGATTATGGATAGGCCTATGGAGTGTAGATAGTTTTACTGTTCCTCGTGTTATTAAATAATGTAATCAGGTTATCCTTATGTCCTTATATTGACTTGAGTGAATACAATTGTACACCATCTGTATGTGTTTTAAACTGTCATTTTTACATTATCTGGACCCCAGGAAGACTAGCAACTCCTCGGTAGAATCCTAATACAGAATAAAGATGATCTTTATTTGTGTTGCCAGGCCTGCATCTCCTCTTATTGGGACACCAGTAAAACCACCTCCAGAGCGTCCAAAATGTACCAGTGTCCTCTGTGTAAAGAAAGCTTCAACCGCCGCCCAGAGCTGCACATAAACCGCACGCTGAAGGAGATCACAGAGCATTTCAAACAAGCAGCTGCCACAGGAACACCTGTGTCCGGGGAGGCCAGGAGCTGGGACAACCGCAGCCCTATTTCAACAAGACGCAAGTCCACACCCAACAGGAGAGGAGAGATGCCAGAGGGAGTCATCACTGAGATGGTGACCCGCTTTCAGAAAACAATCACAGAACATGATGATCCCCCTCCGGCATACACTCCTCAACGCAGGTAAGAAGGTGGAGATGTGATGAGCAAGACAGACAGGGGGAAGAGAGGGCATTTGTACGAACAGCTTGAGATGTAATTGGTTGATTGTTGAAGTAACTGATGACTGTGATTGGCTAGCCTTGTTCAAAGTCACTGTTGAGTGTTATTTTACATCATAAATGATAATGTATAAAAGTGGCATCTGAGCTAAAGCCTAGCCTAGCTGACTTTCAGTTAAAATTTCTGAACTTGTTTCAGGAGGAGACCAGATATATAACAGAAATATAATGAAATTAATATTTTATATACTAAACACATGATGTACTCCAGATTTTCTTTAACAGTATTTTGTTTCCATGTTTTGTTTATCCTGGCAGATACACGGTGAGCAGTGCCCATGACCAGGACCCGAGCCTCCCCTTGTGCCCGCTGCACCTGCGTGGCCTTGCTTACTTCTGCCCTGAGGACAATGTGTGTGTGTGCAGTGCGTGTGCGGAGTCATCTGACCACAGGGGGCACACCATCACAAACGCTAAGAGGGAGTGGCAGATCAGGAAGGTACGATGGCCCCAAAAATGTGTGTATTTGACCCATCCTTCAATGCTTCAACGCTGGGGTTAAAAACTGTCAGATTATTATTACTCTATTACTGTTACTCTATTTTCTGATCTATGTTGTAATGCTGTTTCCTCATCAAAAACATACCTGGAGTTGTGTTTTGTTTCATCCACACACAAACCCTGCATATTTAGGATGATTTCTTGTCTCAAACAGGAAATTTGCCATCTCTACTAAACAAAGGTAAGAGGTCATTACTAGCTTCAGAACTACCAGTTTATGACACTATAAGGTAGAACAGAGCACTTTGAAGGTGCAGGTACTCAAACATTCGTGAATGAAACAAAACACAACTCCAGGTATGTTTTTGATGAGGTAACAACATCCCAACAAGGCTTAAAGCTCTGTACTAGATTCTCTACTAAATGAGAATTATTATTTATGTATATTAAAAAGTCATATTACTTATTACTTGATATCATCTTATCTTTGCTAAAAGCATAACCTGCACTGACTAGAATCAACAACTTTGAAATTGTGTACTTAATGAATCATGTATTTCAGTTGGACCACAGTCATATGGACCTTTGTATTGTTCTTGCTCTGTGTTCAGTCTCGGTTGGGGATTGTGGACGTGGAGCTCAAAGACCTGATCAGTGAACGAGAGACAAAAGTTCTGGAGATTCAAACTACTCTACTTGAAATAAAGGTACACGACAATTGTCTGAGAAAGTCTTTTCATATGGATTATGTTTTGTTTTGTTTTTTAAACTGAGATATCTTTCAGTTTCACTTTCTTTCCATTTTTATATTTTGTGTTTGAACAATTGATTTTTCCCATTGAGTATATACTCCTAGACCAGAGTATTCGTAGTATTCGAGTGCAAGTCAAGGCCCAGTATATTTGCCTATGCAAAATTGCATTGGGAGGACTAAAAGGATTTGAAATTAAAGGCCTATATAATGCTTTTTTCAGATTATCATGTTGTTTCTATATCAAAAATGCACTTGGTGTTGTGTTTCATTTACACATGTTTAACCCACAAATCCTGCTTATTTAGGCTGAGTTCTTCTCTCAAACAGAAAACACTGTTCCATCTTGTGATGTCATGTGGTAATACAGCAAGTGCTCCATGGTATTTTTAAACTCCATACACCTTCACTTGGATCATTTGAATGATTTTAGTCCTGGAATTTAAATTCCTCTTCTAAACAAAAGGTAAAAAGGCAACTTGAAAACCATCTCTTCACATCACAACAAGGTGGAACAGAGCATTTAGACCGATGGAGACATAATAAAGGGTGACTCAAACATGTGTGAATGAAACAAAACACAGCTCCAAGTCAATTTCACGTAATATAACCTTTTAAAAATATATATTGTCAAAAAGTATCCTCCCAATACAGTCTTTGATTATTGTTATGAATGTAAAACTAGCCATGTATCAATTCAATGTCCCTTCTTGTGTCTGTGCTTTAGGCTGCAGCTGAGAAGGACACAGGGGAGGCAGTGAACATGTTTTTAAAACTCATCGCAAACGTGGAGCGCTGTCAGGCTGAAATCCTAGAGGTATTCAGACAACCTATGCATTCAAAAAGGAAAATATTTTAACACAATTGCTCAAAAATGTATCATAAAACAATGATTAGTTTAAAAAAGTACACCAAACAATCTGTACTAACTGCTTGCAATAATGTATTATAATGTAAATCACTACCAGTCCAGTATTCTGTAGAGAGACCTGTTATATTTTGTTGCCCAAGTTGATACTTTGCAGCTGATGTCATCAACAGTCCCTTGGGGTGTAAAGCTAACTGAATGCACTACTCTGTCAGATGGTCTGTTACTCAAATTAGACTTAATCTGAGTTTTGTTTTAACACAAAGTTCAGATTAAGTCTCTCACACATAAAATTACAGTCACAAACTAGCTAGTATGAAAGCTTGTATTGATCACAAGCTCTGGAAAATTAGACAATGTAGAAACGGTTATTACTGTTTTGGCTATTTTGAGCATTATGTCACCATGGTAACTGCAGAACATTCCGCCAATAGAGATGCATGTAGAACACTCCCAGTTTAATGTCACTGCAAAATATACATGCATCCCAAATTTCGGACTTCCAGCTCAATGCATACTGGGAAGGATCCTCCAAAAAAGTGAGCATCAAACTGCCGTGTTTGATTTCCCAGTGAGATGCGTCTATTGTCAAAGCCAGTCTTTTCAAATCTTTGGAACCATAACGCTTTTGTTTCTGGTTCTGATATTATGGAAATTCGGACATGGTAATTGTGTGGTTGCTGGATGTCCAAACAGTGGAAAACGGGCTTCAGAAGTTTGCGAACTCCATAACTGCAAAAGGGAATCAGATCTGTGTGACTGCACACCTCTGTTCAAACTGTTTTCCTTCCCAACAGAATAGAAAAATAGTGAAAGGTGAAGGCGATGGGCAGTATTGATACACAGGAAGGACAAAAAAGTTAACTTTTGGCTGCCTCAGAAATCATTCTGATTTTGCAGCGAACATTTTGTATATATAGCACCAACAAAGCATAATCCCGATCCCTCGTTCAACCTTGGTTATGAATTTAAAAAGTCAACACCAAAGCAAAAAGGCACCAGCTGTTCACCAAGAAACACCTTCCACTGCAAAGCGACCAAGACATGACACTACTGTAAAGTAACAAGAACAAGAAAGTGCGACCTCAGTCTGCTTGTCTTCTGTACCACTCGCTAAACAAAATGTTTGCTGCAAACTCGGGATGATTTCTTAGGCAGCCAAAGGTTTCCTTTTTGGTCTTTCCTGTGGATCAGTACTGCTTTTCGCTATTTTTCATTTCCGTTGGGAAGGGAAACAGTTTGAACGGAGGTTTGCAGTCACACAGATCTGATTCCCTTTTGCAGTTATGGAGTCCGCAAATGTACGAAGCCCATTTTCCAACAACCACACAATTACGATGTCCGAATTCCACAACTAAAATATGACAATATTAGAACCAGAAACAAAAGCGATATGGTTCAAAAGACTTGAAAAGACTGGCTTTGACAATAGACGCACCCCACTGGGAAATCAAACATGGCAGTTTGATGCTCACTTTTTTGGAGGATCCTTCCCAGTATGCATTGCGCGATGACTGGAAGTCTGAAATTCAAGATGTATGTATTAATATTGTACTTTTCATAAACATATCATCCCTTAAAGGTGGTGCAGTATGTAATTTTTCTAGTGGAGGGTACGCCACTTGCTTGTCTCCATGGAGGCGGTTATTGCTTTACCTGGAATGTTCCACAGTATGGCATTAAACATACATTTCATATTTATTTTATTACAAGTGTTTTTATAGTTCAAAAACAACTTGACAAACATAAACATAATCACAATATACATTTGTATTGTGATCATAAACATCTCTTCACAGATCCGTCCAGTGACATGGCCTAGTTAAGCAACCTGCTTGTCTCCATGGAGATCATTTTAATGCCATACTGTGGAACAATCCAGGCAACATTCCAGGCAGAGCAATAACATCTCCATGCCACACTTTCCACCAAAAACACCCTGTACCTTTAAACATCCCATATCACACAAAATGGATTCTTATGAGCTATAAGCCATGTTATAATGTTGTTACTCCATCGAAAACATACCTGGAATTGTGTTTTATTTCATTCACACATGTTTGAGTAATTCTGGTTTATTAGTCTCTCTACATCTTCAAAACTCAAAATGCTCTGTTCCACCTTGTGATGTCATGAAGCAGTAATCTCAAGTTACAGCTACCTTTTACCTTTAGATCAGGAGAGATTGGCAATTCAAGGGCTGAAATCTTCCATATGATTCTAGTGAAGGTGTGTGGAGTTTAAAAACACAGTGAAGCACTTCTAGCACGTCTATTACCACATGACGTCACAAGGTGGAACAAGGTGTTTTGAGTGAAATAGACTAAATATGCAGGGTTTGTGTGTTAAACATGTGTGAATGAAACAAAACACAACTCCAGGTCTGTTCTGATGAGGAAACAACATTATAACATAGATCACAAAAAATACTGCAATATAGGCCCTTTAAGAGACTATACAGTTATCTAGGACAGCATATGGAAGTCAAAAAACGGCAGTAATGTCTACGGAATAGACATTCACATTAAAACTGATTATGATTACTGCATGTTAGAGCTGTTTGTAACTTTTGTATTTTTTGATCCATTGTAAATAAAAGTTCTTGCTGGTCTTAGGTTATAGAGATAAGTCGCAGAGCAGCAGAGCACAAGGCTCAGAAGCTGTTGAAAGAACTGGAAGAAGAACTATCAGAACTGAAGAAGAGGAGAGCCACTCTGACCCAACTCGCCCAGACTGACAACTACATACAACTCCTCACTGTAAGAGCTCACACAAACTTACACTGCCAAAAGTACTTACAAAACATAGTCTGGGGATATATAATCAAAAAATATGTGAACTTCCATTTACTTGCTCATATAGTAGTAGTGTAGTTTATATGTGAATGAAATTTAGGTGCACTAAGTAATTTTTCTGGTGGGGTGTGTTTTCTCAATGACTGTTACATTACTGAGCCTGATGTTCAAGCCAGGCTGGCGCCGCCTAGTGCCTCCGCTTAATTTAATTTCTCTCCAGCGATTAGGTCAGGAATCGGAATATACTAGATGATTTGCAAGAACCCAGGAAGCTGTAGACCGTGCTGCACCGGCCAATCACCGAAGAGCTGTGAAGCCATGACAACAGTAAACAAAGTGAGATGGATGTAGACAAAGCCATACATTCTGTGTTGGCAACGATTCCCAAGATCGAGGATTTAAAGCCGGAACAAAGAGAATGTTTGGTGAATTTTATCAATGGGAAAGACGTTATTGCCGTTTTTTTCCTACGGGATTTGGGAAAAGCTTAATATACCAGGTGGTCCCGTTAGCGGCGTATTACATACATCATGACCAAACAGCAACAATTGGTTAAATTAAAAAAGTACCCGACTACCGTCGAGTGAACGAATCCTAATGCTGCGAAATCAGATGGTTTCCACATATTTAATATAAATAGTGGTGTCAAATTATCGCGTTAATTGCGATGAATTAATTACAGTTATATTTAGCGCGTTATGTTTTTTAATCGCGTTAATCTCATTTTTAATCTCTAACTTTAGTGTTTCTGTATGTGAGTTTCTTTATTATAAAACCAGTTTTTATGTGTTGTTGGGACAACAACACACACACACACACACAAACAAAAACACATTTATAATTTTTTTATTTCGGTAATTCCACTCATTGCCGGAAAGCCACACAAAACGCGCGCAGTAACAGCGATGTAAACGTCATGTTCATGTTGGCGGCGTCAGTCGCACAATGGACGAGGTCGAAGAGCCAGTAGAACAGAGTCAGCAGTGCACAGGGAAAAACACATTTGTGTCTTGGAAATTATTCTCCCGACGTGAAATATAAAAGAAAATAACAAATATAATATCGCCTGAAAACAACCTGCATAGGCTCATGATGTCTGCACTACTGTCCTATAGTGACCTGCCACATGAGGGGACACGCACACAAACACACACAAACACAAACACACACAAACAAACACACACAAACACACACCTTCATCATCGTCATTAACCTCAGAACGCGCGGACCACGTTTCCTTCCGTAGACACTGCGCGGACACCGACGTGCTCCCGTGAGCCGCGTGTGGATCGTGTTTTCTCGCTACGCTGCGTAAACCGCGCTTCCTCCTGTGCGCCTCTAAACCAGAACTAACACCAAGACTAAAACCAGGACTAATCCAGTCCAGAACTAAACCAGGACTAAACCAGGTCTAAACCAGGACTAAACCAGAACTAAAACCAGAACTAAAACCAGGTCTAAACCAGGTCTAAACCAGGACTAAACCAGAACTCAAACCAGAACTAAAACCAGAATTAAAACCAGAACTAAAACCAGGTCTAAAACCAGGACTAAACCATTATTAAACCAGGTCTAAACCAGGTCTAAACCAGGACTAAACCAGGACTAAACCAGGTCTAAACCAGGACTAAACCAGAACTAACACCAGGACTAAAACCAGGATTAATCCATTCCAGGACTGAACTAGGACTAAAGCAGGTCTAAACCAGGTCTAAACCAGGACTAAAACTAGTGATTTCATATATAAAGCATTTCTCTATCAATAATATTTTTAATATGGTTAAGGAAAGACTGGACTTTTTATTGTCTTTAAGTAGACAAAAGTTATTATGTTCAGATTTCCTCGTCTTTGCTACTTTACAGCAAACAGTTTCTTATTCATGGAGACTTGGGCTCAACAGCCAAATTGGAGAGATTTGTTAAACAATAAATGACTTTATAAAGTCACTTTTTAAAATCTATATTAGTCTTTTGATCTGCCACAATAATGTAATAATGAATTTAAATGAAAATACCTCAAATTGAAGGCTTTTCTCAGCAATTTTTAGGTGAGATTAAAATGAGATTAATTAATTAGATTAATTAATTACAGATCATAATTAATTAATCTCTCAATTTTTTTTAATCGCATGACAGCACTAAATATAAATATACATTTTTATTTGTTAAAAAAAAAAAATCACACCTTTTACAGTTTGGACACACTTTATTCATCTGTCCTCGCATGTTTTCACCTGTCTTTACCTGTTCTCACCTGTCCTCACCTGTGTTCACATGTTTTCACCTGTCCTTACCCGTCTTTACCTGTTCTCACCTGCCCTTACCTGTCTTAACTTGTTTTTACCTGTCCTCACTCACATGTTCTCACCTGTCTTGTTTCTCCACAGACATTCTCCTCTCTCTCTGCTCTTCCTCAAACCAAGGACTGGTCCAGTGCAGCTGTGGGCTCAGAGCTGCCCTCTGGTGTCATCCTGAGGAACATCACTCAGACCATGGAGAGGTTCAAAGAGGAGATGTGCAGACTCACAGAAGTCTGTACGCTTATTATCATTGTGTTATTATATTGTAATGTGTGAGCTACGGTGTCCAGGTCATTTCCTTCTGAATAAATTAAGTTTTGTCTAAGTCCAATCATATAAGAGCCTCAAAATAAACAAACAAATCCAATGTCATGAGAATAATATTCATCTTTTTGTTTAGGGAAAGGACAGAAACCAGAATTTGAGCAGTCTGTGATCAAGTACAATCCAAGTAAATATCAATTACACTTACAGAACCACACATTTTATTTCATATTTCATGTGTGATACTTACAGAAATTTGTAATGTTTTTTCTTTATCCAGAGGTCAAAAAAGTCCAGGAATACGCAGGTATGTTTATTGACTACTTGTATTATTAACTGACTTGTGTTTCTCTATGTTTACATTGTATAACTTATGTGTCACTGCTCAGACATTTTTATTTTGCATAATGAGTCTCATGTTTAAAGAGGACCTTTTGTGCTTGTGTCTGCTACAGAGTCTTAATCTATGACCAATTAAGAAAATACAATTTGTACAAAGCAGTGGGCGTATACCGGTGCTAGTGAATCTTGAAAATAAGCAATGATTTTACATAATACATCTGCTTTAAGGGCCTTCACTACACATGTTTACTTGATGGATTTTTGTTTATTACAAAGAACAAAAACATCTATTTTAAACACTTATGTTTTGTTTTTATTTTTGTTTTTTTTGCAAATTCCATATTCCATGAAGTGAGCTAAAGTCAAAGTCTGGCTTATTTGGGCAATACCTGATCAGGACCAGGCTAAATGTAAAGATTATTTTAGCTTTGTCTCCAAAAACATCAAAAGAAACAGTTTAAATACACAAAGTTAGGGATTTTTTTTGCAAAATCTTAAAGAATTTTGTTAAATATGTGATGTGTTGGTGGAAAAAGTACTCTGTAACTTGTCATATGCACTTTAAAGTGACTTTCAAACCCTCTTCCATGTCCCCACCAGAGGACATCACGCTGGACCCAAACACATCTCACCCTCGCCTGGTCATCTCTTTGGATGGGAAGCAGGTGTTCTGTGGAGACAAGCACCAAATAGTCCCTGACAGCCCTGAGCGATTTGACCGTGTGGTCTGTGCTCTGGCAAGGGAGGGTTTTGACTGCGGCCGCCACTACTGGGAGGTGGGTGGAGCCAGGGTCAGGTTATACTCACTTTAAACTTAAAGGCACCTGATTTGTACTGTCTTAAAGATGTGGAAAACAGAACTAGTTCATTTTAAATCCTTTGCAGTGGTCCAAAGTTATTCCTCACTCCTGATGCATTTCGAGCATAACTAACTATTCGCTGCGATGAGTTTATAAGCACTAACTTTTCACAAATGTCCACACAAACTTCCTGATTATCAAACAATAAAACACCAATTAAATCAGGTATAGCTGGTACCACACATTCTCTTTGACTGTTTTAAATCTCAAAGCTTCAAATTAACCTACTGACATGGCAAAAATAGAACAGAAAAGGAAGAATAGATTAATGCCTCTAAAACAGTGTTTCCCAAACTTTTTTCAGGGGACCCATATTTTAAAAGTCACAACCCAAGCCAATAGACATTATTCGTATATCACAAAAAAAGTGGATTTGACCATTTTTGAACATTAATGGGGATATTTTATTGTTGACTGAGTGATTGTGCCTCTCTGAACAATTAGTATTACTCAGTAATTGAACCAGCAATAAATGGTATCCATAAGAATCCTGAAGTGCCTTTGCTGATTGTTCACCCTTCTTTTTAACAACCAAGCAAATATTTCTCAACTTTAGCTGCAGGAAAACTTGTTCAGGGCAGGCTGATAGGATTCACTGACTCACTTTCTCTCTCATGTGTCAGAACTGCATATTGCAGATCTACATGCAGATCATAACAACGCGACCCACAAAACAAATCTCTTGGGACCCACCTGAGGGTCACGAGTCTTTGGGAAATAATGCTCTAAAACAGACATGTCAAACTCAGGCCCAGGGGCCGAACTTGGCCTGCGATATAATTATATTTGGCCCGCAAAATCATATCAAATATGTATTAGAGCTGGCCCACTGGCTACAGATAGGATATAGAGATATTATTTATTTAAACTATTTAGTTTGGCCCATGACCTAGTCCCAGTTTTTAATTTTGGCCCTCTGTTAATTTGAGTTTGACAACCCTGCTCTAAAACATCATGTATAAACCACCAGCATGAACCACCAGTATTAAACCAGATCTGAACTTGGGCCCATCACAATATAATATTCTTACCACTAACCCTGAGTCTTGTGCATTGCAGGTGGAAGTTGGCAGTAAGACCGACTGGGACCTTGGCATAGCAAGTCGCTCTGTGTGCAGAAAGGGTAAAATCACAGTCAGCCCGGCTCACGGATACTGGTTTCTGAGTTTACGCGATAAAACAGACTACGCCTTCAGAACTGAGCCATCCACCCCACTCACCCTCACTCAGCGGCCCTCTCGCATCGGTGTCTTCCTGGATTATGACAAAGGAATGGTGTCTTTCTACAATGTGGACGCCAGAGCGCTCATATACTCGTTCAGCGACAGGTTTACCGACGTCATCCTGCCTTTCTTCAGCCCCTGCACCAACAAATCAGGCAAAAACGAGGCTCCACTGATCATCTGTCCTCTCTCTACTATTGAATAAAACTAAAGCTTGTTAACTTTTTATACCCTTTTCTATGCATTAAAAACAATATACATGGTTTATGATTTATTTTGGAGGCCTGAGAACAAAGGCAGAGACAGATCTGCCTTGTAAAGCACCCTCCACTCAAAATGCAAATAAAATTCTTCTTTTTGAACATGCTAATGTTAAAGCATATGTTAAAATGTATGTATGTATGTACAGTGTTGGGAAGTATTTTTGAGTAACTGGTGGTATTCAGAATACAGTTACTTTTCTAAAATCAAAGGAATATATGGCTCATTTTTTTGTGATGAGGCTGAAAGCTTAATTGCAATCAAAATCTCAATTTATATGGCTGCAATCAGCAAATCACAAAGACTGCATTTTTTTAAGTACCATAATTTCTTCCACAAACAGCAAAATATGTCTTATTCTGCACAAAAATAAAAAAGCTGTACATGCAGTTAAGATCTCTAAAAACATGTTCTCAAATGTGAATGCACCATAATGCCTCTAATCATAAATGTCCTTTATCAAGAAAAAAATAAACAAATCACATTTCACAACCCAAATGTAGATCTTATATGCTTTATTTTTACATTCAGATTTGACTATAACACACCAAATAAAATCCATATTTGTACTTGGAAATACATTGGATACAGGCTATTTTTGGATGTACATAATGATTTACATATTTTTGTCTCTTGTGTTGTAAATACCATTAGTTGGTTTCATAGACTACCTGACAGTTCCTTTGTACAAAAATAATGTGTTGTCAACTAAAACATTCTGATGTAATATTGAAAGTTACACCATGAGTATATGAAGCCTTTAAAAAATATTTTAAAAGAGCAATGCATTTTTTTCTTGTTTTGAGAAGATGTGAATAAACATGCAAACAAAGAATCTACAGATATTAGGCTTGTATACTGTTTGGCAGTTGTTTCACTGAATAGATTTCACTTTAATGTTTTAATTTACTTTGTACAAAATCATATGATACACTGAACTACTGCAATACACACTATCGAATATGAACTGATTTTTATTTTTTTTTATAATGGGCTCATAATATATACATGACACGTGTATAGTGCTTTTTAAGATACCCAAAGACTCTTTGCATAAGGTGTATGTAATGGTATGATGGGGAATGGTAGTGGTTGAAGAAGCTCTGAGAGGTAGGTGGGGTCTAGGTTATGGAGGAACTTGTACACAATGGTGACAAGCTTGAACTTGATATGCTGGAGGATGAGTAACCAGACAAGATCTCTGAATGTACTGAAGTTTATTGACGGTGAACTGTCAAGCAGGCTGTTGCAGTAGACGAGGCAAGATGAGATGAAGAGGTGGATGAGGTGTATAGCAAGCTGTTTTAACATTTAAACATTAAATCGGACATGTATTGTATATATCTCTAACTTAGTTTTGCCTAGTCAAAAAGAAAATTACGGATATCTGCAAAGTCATTCTTCTTATCCGTAACTGTCATTTTTGATATCCACAATGACATTCTTCCCAAGGCAAATGACTTCACTTTTGCCATTCATTTGTATGGGTTTCATAATTACGGATATCCACAATTCAGTTATGGATATCCACATCCTAAGTTACAGATATCTACAACTGAATTATAGGTATCTGTAATTCCAGTTTGAGATATCTACAATTTGATTCTGACTAGTCATAACTTAAGTTCAAGGTATCTTTATTTCACTTCAATTGACGATATCTACATGCTCCATTTCAGATATCTTAACTTAAGTTTTGACTAGGCGAAATGACGTTGTAGATATCTCTAACTGGAATTACAACTAGTCAGAACTGATGTTGTAGATATCTCAAACTGGAGTTTCAGATAGTCATATTTAGTTGTAGATGTCTCTTATCAAGTTTTAGATATGGTGTAATGAATTTTGATTGGAGATATCTGAAATTGCAGATATCCATAAATTTCATTGTGCCTAGTCAAAATATTATTACAGATATCTTGAACTGGAGATTTGACTAGGCGAAATGACGTTACAGATATCTATATGCAAATGATCCCACTTTAGAAAAGCTTATGGTGCAATGCCATTCTGTACAAAAAAAAATACTACAAGTTGAATTTCCGCTGAACCCAACAGATGTGATTAGCTGAACTACAAAGACTACTCGGACAACTGTCAGGTAAAGTCTGGTACAAAAATGTCTGAATATGAAAAACAAATAATTAATTCAAATTAAACAGTTTGGATTCCCATAACGCAGCTCGTAGGTGTGCATCCGGAACATTGGCTCCCAGCTGAGCCGAACCCCACACAGAATTATAAACCAGCTTTAAAACTTGGTGACAAACAGTAACTGAAAGGTCAACTGCAAAATGTGACACATGGTGCCATTTAATTATTTTTCATATTTTATACCATAGGCCACAGGACCTTCCAAGGTGAAGCCGATGTAAAAGGATACCTCCTCTCGGCTGTAACCACTGCGAATATCCCCGAGGTAGGCAGGACGGATCATAATTTTCGTGTTGGTATCATAAGTGACATAAATGTCACCGTTTTCAGATTTTCCTTTAACCCTTAACAGCTCATCTTGTATGTTGTGGGTGTTCCAGGCCTTTCCACTATGCCAAAGATGATGAAAGCTTGGATAATCATCACTATGACAAGACTGCAACAAAATTTGGTCAAGCTTTGTTTTGCTAACTATCCGTTTTAAACCACTTGATTTCCCAAGAAAGAAATGAGCAATAGCACTTCTTGATGGAAAGATGAAACTGAAACGTTTGTGGAAGGACCTTTTGGCTGATGCGATGTACGTACTGATGTTGCTGTATTCTGTGAAGTTTTTGAGGGACTGGTCTTTGGATGGCCACATCAGCAGCATGCAGAGGTAATAGAGCTCGAGGAGGTTGGATCGTGTGCCCTCCCTCTGCAGAACATCATTAAGGAGCTCCAACAACTCCTCATATTTCTTCACACGAGACTTTGGTTTGATGCTGTGAAGAACAATGGTTGCTAAGATGTAATTCACTGTGTCAGAAGTTGATGGATATCTGCTGACGGAGTTTTCAAAAATAAATTTCCATTTCTCATAAATGTTTTCGATTTCCTTTTGGTCTTTGTGACTCAAACTCTGCAGAAGACCTGCAAAAGAATCTGCCTGCATCATCTCCAGGTCACGACGGTGATCCTCTATCACCTGCTGTTGACTAAGATTGGGGTTTCTTGCCCGTTCTTGCTCCTTTTCCTCCTCTGAACAACTGAATAGCTTGATGTACTTCTTGAAAAGGTCTGAGACCTTACGTTTGTTTCTTTCATCAACTGTTTCCCTGTTTAGTGGCACATGTCTGGGCCTCAAGTATATGAAGTAGTTCTCAAAGAAAGTGAAAATCTCCTTCAGTCTTGGTTTTAGTGAAACAAGAAATCTCCCATGATCATTGAGGACACTGGCTATTGCGTCTACTTCTGGACCACTGTTATTACCCAACATGGTAATGGGTTGTTGCCCTCTAAGAACCTGTAACATTTTGTCTCTTCTGTGTCTGTCACTGACAGAGAAAACAGGAAGTTCTGTAATCAAGTCAAGAAGCATGATCATAACCTCTGTTTCTCCAAGATAGCCTGAGGTGTTGTAGCCTGTCCTTACTTTTCTACCATGTCGATCCCATGGGTCGTTTTGTTCATCTTTCTTTGCTAGTTCCTGAGAGTCCTTGAACGCAGACACAGCTTTAGATGCTAACTGTAAACATTCATCAAGTGACTCTGGAGACATTTCCTTGGAATCTTCAATGAGCTTTTTGAGCTGGCTTTTGTACACCTGTCCCACTGTGTCTGCGATGTAGGAGTTAGATCTTTTGCTCTGCGCGTCTAGGGCCCATTTGAGAGCAGAGCCAAAGTCTTTCTCATTAAGACACATGTGCCTAGCCAGAGCTTGAGGCAGTGTTGCACTTCTGTCAAATCTATGAATGGCTCGTTCAAGGACTTCCTTAACCTTATCAAATCCTTCTTCTTTTTGAATGTCTTCAATCAAAGGTGAAAATAATGTGTTCTTGTCATCTCCTTGCTCTCGCCGGGTCCGTGTGACCAACATAATTTGGATAAACTGGTTCAGGAAATCCTTTCCCATGCATGTTCTATAGAGGTTCTCACAGAACAACAAGTCAATGGTTATATCAGAAAGACCAGACAGCTGTTGCTCTTTGAAAACTTTGATGCAGTTTTCAGCAATCATTGGGTGTAAGAGCCGCACTGCTTGGTAAGTGCCATGTTCCTCAACAATGAAAGTTATCAGGAGAGTGGAATATGGGTTCATTTTATCTTCCAGAGATTCCGATGTCCAAAGAGGGTTTCTAATCTCCATCAGCTCCTCACATAAAGAGAGGGACATGTAGGACCCATTGACATACGTGTTCAGCAAAGCTAGAAAAGACAGAAGTTTACCCTGTGGTGAACCAATATCTAGATCTTTAAGAATGTTGTTCACTAAATCACTAATGTAGTCTTTGCTAAAATCATTTTTCATGATCATGAATGCATAGAAAGTGTCTGGTTTGTCATGGTTGTCTTTGAGTTCCTGATATTTCTTTGAAAACAAATCCTTCTCTTTTGATGAGAGCTTGGCACTGATGAACACATTTGGATTGTAACAGTTGTTTGAGGTTTTTTCAGGAAATGGTGTTCTCTCACAGTTTAATATCAGTACAATAAGGTTATTGGGCTGACTTCTGTCTATAGCAGCACCAATAATACACTGCTTTAAATCATCCACATCGTACCAGTTGTCTACCAACAACAGAACTGGTGTGTAGCTTGACTGGTCTTGTTTACCATATGTGAGCAGTGTCCTGACTTGCAATGCAATCTCTTTATTTGTTGCCATTTGGTTTTTAACAACTGCACATCTGAATTTGTTTTTTAAGCTCCATAGTATGTGCTTGGCTAAAGTAGTGCCCCCACAGCCTGGGTGGTGGAACAGATTCACAATCACACAAGGAGAGGTGTGGCTCTGCCTTGGGCAGACGAGCTGGTGTAGGTCATCATATGTGTCTCGTCTGATGAAGGGCAGGCTGCCTGGCTGCTCTGACAGGTAAAAGTTCCACCATGACACTTGGCCTCCCCTGTAAAACACCTCTTCTGTGTTCTTCTTAAATTCGTCAAAGGATTTGTTTGTTTCTATTTCTGTTTTCTCACATTCATTTTCACACAATATTTCCAAATCTGTCATCATCTCCTCTTCTTTCTTTTCCAGTAGGACCGAGCTAGAACCTGTGGAAGGCAAGAATCTTCTGGAGGCACGTGTCTGGGGCTCCTTCAGTTTCTTTATGGTGCTGGAGATCTCATTTAGGCTCAAAGTGTAGATGCATTTATTGCTGATATCTTCTTTACAGCGAACCTCTACCAAATTCTTCCAGAGGCTGAAAACTGTGGCATCTTTGCAAAGACAAAGCATGTTATCCATTCCTCCCAAGGAGCGGTACAATGCACAGAATGTTTCTAGAATAGGGCTTGAGATGTCAGAAATAGGAGAGTGAAGAATGATCAGGACCAATAATCTGTGCTTGGGAAGCAGGTCAGGAGTACAGAGAAAGGACACCATATTGATAATGTCCCCAGAACGATTCTTCAGCCACTCGCGCGGAGAAAGAGGTCTCTCTGAGTCATTCTCCTCACCTGCCTGTCCATTACAGAAGACCCAGCTAGTTTGTTTAAACAGATTGAGCTTAGTTATAACTGAAGTGCTGTCTTGTGTCATGTACATGTGTGGGAAATGCAGATTGGCTGCACGGTCTCTTCTGTAAAAGTGGCAGGTTCCATTTGTACCAGACTCCGGGTCAAAATCCAAAACTGCAAACAATTTCAGTTCTTTCAAAAAGTCCATGTGCTCCAATTGGCTTGAATGACATTTGTCAGTAACAACAAAAGCTTGCATGAAATCAGAAAGTGAATCTTGTCCACGAGTGATCAGTTGTTTCAGTCTTTGACCCTGTTGCTCAGAGGGAGGAGGAGTTTCATACTTTTCCTCTGCTGCTCTGCGAGATGATGCCCAATGTTTTACTTTGTTATTGATTTCCTTAATTTTATCTTGAAACACACGTGGATTTGAATCTGATAAAATGTTGACTTTTTTGGATCCTTCTCGCACAAAAAGACATTCAATTTTGGACTGCTGCTGATTCTTATCTGTGGATGGAATATTCAGAATAGTGTAAAAGACACTCTCCTGAGTCTCAGAATACAGAGGAACCACATCCACCTCAATCACCCATTTGTCTGATGCTGTTCCATCTTCACATTGAACCTGGACAAACACAGGAGGCCTGATGCACATCCTGGCAGAGTGTATGTGCTGCGGTTCAAAGTATTTACTTAAGTCTGATTCAAATGCCTCACTGTAAAGACTGATTGAGCTGATTTTGTGGCCTATTATTCGACCATGTTCTTGGCCTGGTTCATCATTTACTCCAAAATGAATTGTCCCATTGGTGCGTGAATTCATGCAGCTCGCTGCAAAACAAAACATTTCATTTGTGAACTCAAACAAGGCCTCTCTTTTGCTGATTTCATTTGAATCTGGTAGAAGTTTGTATTCGTGAACAGGCTCTAGGAGATTACTAGGACCTGTCACAACGGGGAGGAAGTAGTGCTCTGTGTAAAACACAGGTGCGCTGCTTTTGTCAAAAGGACGTAGCACGCACAAGGCTCGCTTTGTCTGTGAAAGGGATTGTATCTGCTGTATCTGTGTCTGCTCTGTGATCTGCTCTTCAAAATCATCTCTCACTTCATGCAACTCTGATGCACTTTCACTGTGAAATCCTGAATCTGTTGTCACAGTTTTGGTTTCCAATTTATCCTGAGCCATTTTCTCTGGCTCTTCTGATTCCTGATGCCGTGCACTCAGCTCAGAGCGCCTGTTGAACCTTTCCACCTGTCGTAGGATCTGTAATGCTGGAGCTGGTGGAACTCCTAACTCTATAAGGTCCTGTTTCTCAAAAGACACTAAACATGCTCCTGAGGCCTCTTGGTCGTACAGATTCTGTGCAACCTTTGATGGAATACGAAGGTGAGTTATTAGCCAATGTCGAACATGTTCTTTTGTCCAGTCTTCCATTATTGGTGGAAATGCCTTTTCTTCACCCTATTAATTAAAACAAAGATGATAAAAATACATTTCAAGAAATAACAGTGTGTTTAACCAGCTGTGGGTTTACATACTTTTGCACTAAGTCTTCCATAAACTGAAGGTTCTGCAGGCATCACGTTCCTGTTAAAAAAAATGTTAATAAAATTGATCACAACACCAAGTCGGAATATCAGCGAAAACAAACATAGGTCTACTTCATGCCTGTCTTTACATAACACACTTGATAAATCAGGTCTCAGGTACTCATTGCATTGTAGAGATGGTAAAGTTGGTGATGTTATCTTTTACATAAAACTTTTTTTTCTGTTATATACCATTCATATTAATTATATTCAAGAGACTGGCTCAAATAGTCTGTGTCCAGGGTGAGAAGGTAAGCTATGATCTGACCTATTCGCTCCCAAGGCCTGGAGACGCACAGGTCCTGGACAAATAGAGTGTTGTCACGATACAAAAAATTCTATATAAATATATAAATACTTGATTTCGCTGGTAAGGACTAGACTTAATACTACCACAAGACCACAAGAGCAAGACAAATATCGGATATCGTATCGACTCAATAAATCCATATCGGACCACTGTGACCTTGTGTGACTGCCAATTGAACCTTAAGTACCCTAAGCAACAATGCATAGTGGTGCCACCATGCCCTTAAAGACTATAATACAACTTCCAGTGATTATTTCAGTCATTTAATTTTTCAAAACCTCTTCAGGCTGGTGTCCAGGAGGCATCCAGAACAGATGCCCAAGCCACTTCAGCAGGTTCCTCTTGACAAGGAGGTGCAGCAGCTTTACCCCAAGATCCTCCCGTGTGCCTGAGCTCCTCACCTCAGCCACAGCGCAGAGTAAACTCATTTTATTTGTGATCTTGTTCTTTCCCTTTGTCATTACACAAAGCTCATGACCATAGGTGAGAGTAGGAACTTAGATTGAAAAACTTTGCCTTTTGACTCAGCTCCCTCTTTACCACAACAGTCTGATACACGAACCGCATCACTGCAGACGCTGCACTGATCTGCCTGTCAATCTTATGCTCCATCCTTCTCTGACAAGACCCCAAGATACTTGAACTACTCCACTTGTTAAGTTAATACAATTTAAGAAAATTTTACTTTTTTTTTTTTGTCATGAAAAATAAATTATGGCACAGGTCACAATTTTCAAAAGCCTATTAAACAGGCTAAATACATTTGCAAATGGTCCACAGCAAGTCAACAATAGAGGACATATTAGTGGATAGGCCATAGGTGATGACCATGTCCAGACTTTACCCCTGTTGGGAATTGGCTGTGTGATGTACTGGGCAAAATTCATACATTTAACAACATTTAAAAACTTATTTGCTACAGGGTCTAAAAGGTCATTCATGTGCAGGTTAAAATCACTGGTTAAAATGATCATATTATAAGAATTGTGTAAAACTGATAAAACTCCAAAAGGTTGTTGACAAAAAAAATTGCATTTTTTGATGGTCTCTAGATGGCAAAAATATTTTATAACTTTAATCTGAGAAGCAGTGAGGGTGCACACTGAATGAACATGCCCTGTTGATTGCGTATGTGGATGTGCTGTCTGCATGAGGCAAGCCCCAATAGGACAAATAACTGGCCTGGCTCAACAAGATGCTGAGGATATCTGCAAAGAAAAGCCACTGAGCACTGCCTTTAAGACTGAAATGTTACCCAGGAACATTCGGGCAAATAAAAAAGCTCGCTTTTATGAACCTTACAACCCACTCTGCACATTGTGGTGAGTTCATGTATCTTTTCTACTTGATGCTCACACAAGAAGAGCCCTGAAGAAGAGTCAGTTGTGAGGCAAGTAAGCGCACATGCACGCACAGAAACACACACACGCAGGCCATAGTTTAGCCGAATTAAAGAACAGACAGAAGTATCATCTACAGTGGGGCAAAAAAGTATTTAGTCAGCCACCAATTGTGCAAGTTCTCCCACTTAAAAAGATGAGAGATGCCAGTCATTTTCATCATAGGTTCACTTCAACTATGAGAGACAGAATGGGGGGAAGAATCCAAGAAATCACATTGCAGGATTTTTTATTAATTAATTAATTAATTGATAAATTCCTCTGTAAAATAAGTATTTAGTCACCTACAAACAAGCAAGATTTATGGCTCTCACAGACCTGTAACGTCTTCTTTAAGAGGCTCCTCTGTTGTCCACTCGTTCCTGTATTAATGGCACCTGTTTGAACTGGTTCTCAGTTTAAAAGACACCTGTCCACAACCTGAAACAGTCACACTCCAAACTCCACTATGACCAAGAACAAAGAGCTGTCAAAGGACACCAGAAACTGAATTGGAGGCCTGCACCAGGCTGGGAAGACTGAATCTGTGATAGGTAAGCAGCTTGGTGTGAAGAAATCAACTGTGGGAGCAATTATTTGAAAATGAAAGACAAACAAGACCACTGACAATCTTCCTCGATCTGGGGCTCCATGCAAGAGCTCACTCTGTGGGGTCAAAATGATCACAAGAACAGTGAGCAAAAATCCCAGAACCACACGGGGGGACCTAGGAATGACCTGCAGAGAGCTGGGACGAAAGTAACAAAGGCTACCATCAGTAACACACCACCAGGGACTCAAATCCTGCAGTGCCAGACGTGCCCCCCTGCTTAAGCCAGTACATGTCCAGGCCGTCTGAAGTTTGCTAGAGAGCATCTGGATGATCCAGAAGAGGATTGGGAGAATGTCCTATGGTCAGAAGAAATGTTTGGGTACAAAACTCAACTCGTCGTGTTTGCAGGAGAAAGAATGCTGAGTTGCATCCAAAGAACACCATACCCACTGTGAAGCAGGGGGGAGGAAACATCATGCTTTGGGGCTGTTTTTCTGCAAAGGGACCAGGATGACTGATCCGTGTAAAAGAAAGAATGAATGAGACCATGTATTGTGAGATTTTGAGTGAAAACCTCCAGCCATCAGTAAGGGCATTGAAGATGAAATGTGGCTGAGTCTTTCAGCATGACAATGATCCCAAACACATCGCCCAGGCAACAAAGAAGTGGCTTCGTAAGAAGCATTTCAAGGTCCTGGAGTGCCCTTGCCAGTCTCCAGATCTCAACCCCATAGAAACTCTTTGGAGGGAGCTGAAAGTCTGTGTTGCCCAGCGATAGCCCCAAAACATCACTGCTCTAGAGGAGATCTACATGGAGGAATGGACCAAAATGTCAACAACAGTGTGAGAAAACCTCGTGAAGACTTGCAGAAAACAGGGTATATATAAATAATAATAATAATAATAATAATAATAATAATAATAATAATAATAATAATAATAATAATAATAATAATGAGATGAACTTTTTTTATTGACCAAATACTTATTTTCCACCATAATTTGCAAATAAATTCTTTAAAAATCAGACAATGTGATTTTCTAGATTTTTTTTTTTCAAATTTTGTCTCTCATAGTTGAGGTATACCTATGATGAAAATTACAGATGACAAAAAATGCATTTTGATTCCTGTGAGTCCTGGTAGAGGTCACTGACTTGCTCCATTGCACAGACTTGAAACTTTTTTTGCCATTGATCGAATGCGGCAGCACAACCGCTGTTCATTGTTATAGACTAACCTGCTAATCATCTGTTAGACTGAGCTGGCAATTACTATTTTTCTCTGGGTCTGTTTTTTGTTGAACATCAGTATTTAGTTAGTCCAATGAGGTTAATTTGGTGTTCCGATAATTTATTACTAAACATTGGTCTAATAAAAGAATCTATTCAAATAAATCAGCATTTAGTTGGTTGTTTGGCTTTCTCGTAATTGTTTCAGAACCCACAGTATACTGCAGAAATGGGAACGCCTTGTGTGTGTGTGTCAGTGCATGTAACACTCAGCAGGACCACTCACCACTAAAATAAAAAGCAGAAAGAACGGTACCCTAGGAGTAGTGTGGGATCACTATATTCTTGATGTTATAAATGTTGATGTATAACCAACATGTAAGTTGGTGCCAAAATCACCAACATGTGATCAATTTACAGCTTCAAGATAATTATTCAACACAATTTTCCATTAAAGGTAAAAAGTGTCCTCTGAATTCAGTGGTCCAGAAAGTGTGACGGTACTCATTCTAAAGTTTTTAAGCAAAGCATGCAGTTGCATGAGGATGAGATGGAACAACTTCCATATTATTTATAAATACTATACTACAGTAGTATGTGTCATTTTTTATTGAAAATAAAATGGGGAAATCATACCTGTCTTTAGGTTTTCCACTCGATAAATCAGGTCTCTCTGGACTAAATGATTGTAGAGATGGTGAAATTGGTGAAACACTTCTTTCAAACCTGCAGAAACAACAATGAACACAATTAAGTTTCTTTCAGAATGCTGTGTTAACTTTCCCCTGTTTGCTCTGCCTAATCTGTCAGGTGTACAGGTAGGTTCCATTGCAAAAGAAAATTGAATTCTGTCAACTGGTCAAAAGTCTTTGAGACTTAGGTGTGAACTGTTACCATGAATAATTATCCATCACATTTTTTTGTTTGTTTGTTTGTTTGTTTGTTTTTTCCATTAAACCTAAAAAAGTGTCTATTCCTCTGAATAAAGTGGCCCAGAAAGTGTGACAGAACTCACCCTAAAGTCTTTAAGTGAAACATGAAGTTGCATGTGGAGCAAATGGAACAACTTCCATATTATTTATAAATACTATACTACAGTAGTATGTGTCAAAATGCTTGTTTTTTTCTGTTTATTGAAAGAAAAATGGCTAAACCACAGACATGGGGAATTCATACCTGTCTTTAGGTTTTCCACTCGATAAATCAGGTCTCTCTGGACTAAATGACTGTAGAGATGGTGAAATTGGTGAAACACTTCTTTCAAACCTGCAGAAACAACAATGAACATAATCAAGTTTCTTTCAGAATGCTGTGTTAACTTTCCCCTGTTTGCTCTGTCTAATCTGTCAGGTGTACAGGTAGGTTCCACTGCAAAAGAAAATTTAATTCTGTCAACTGGTCAAAAGTCTTTGAGACTTAGGTGTGAATTGTCACCATGAATAATTATCCATCATGTTTTTTTTTTTTGTTTGTTTGTTTGTTTTGGTTTTTTCCATTAAAGCTAAAAATGTGTCTATTCCATCTAAATAAAGTGGTCCAAAAAGTGTGATGGGGCTCACTCTAAAGTCTTTAAGTGAAACATACAGTCACATGAAGATCAGATAGAACAACTTCCATATTATGTTATATACTTTACTGCAGTAGTATGTGTCAAATGCTTGTTTTTTCTGTTTATTGGAAGAGAAATGGTCAAACCACAGACACTGGAAATTCATACCTGTCTTTAGGTTTTCCACTCGATAAATCAGGTCTCTCTGCACTCATTAATTGTAAAGATGGTGAAGTTGGTGAAGCACTTCTTTCAAACCTGCAGAAATAATAATGAACACAATTAAGTTTCTTTCAGAATACTGTGTTAACTTTCCCCTATTTGCTCTAAGTAATTCCTCAGTTGTTCACTCTTACACACTTTGGTCCGTTTGCCAGAATTCTATTTTCTTTTGCTATTTCTCCTGTTTTATTAAAGAATGGATACTATGTTGAACAGTCTTTTTCCTTTAGTCCTGTACAGAGACATTAAGGTCATAAAAGACATTTCGCACCAAATTATAGCTAAATAGCTAGTTTCAATCTGTAGTCCCTGATTTGCAGGAATAAATTATACAAGGTCAACTATGTTGCCTTATGTCCCAATGAGAACGAAGTGAGTACACTATCAATGTAAGTGATTGCTCATAGCATGAGAAGCTTTTACAAAAAAAAAAAGGGGGGGGGGGGGGGGGGACAAATTACATTAAGGGTGCACTACATAACATTTCTAGTGGAGAGCCCGTCACCTGCTTGTCCCCATGGAAATGTTGTCACTTTGTCTAGAATGTTCCACAGTATAGATTAAACTTATCTTTCACGAAGGAGACAGGCAGGTTACAGCACTATGCCACATTACAGTTCAGATCTGTGGAGAATCGACCCTATTCACAGAATAGGAAATTTACACAACTCCAAAATCAAAACCAAACTAACCCCAGGGATCGGAGTGATAAAAAGAAGGAGGATAAACAGAGCCAACTTGGCCCCAAGGACCGCTGGGTGAAAAATCTTTCCAACCGAGAGCTTACCAAGACAGAGAAAGAAGTACTTTCCAAAGGACTGAATTTCTCTGTAACTTCTAACTGCATCCCCATGGTGGACTACATCACAGCAGCAGAATCCGCCATTAGGAACAACAAACTCACAGAGACAGAAGCTGGAGACCTTAGACTGAAATTAACGGTGGCACTGAGCAATGCCAAACCTCCTCCCTCCAACATAACATCAGAGGAAAGGAAGGCCATTATTGCTCTTGAGAAGGACCACAGCATCAACATTCTGCCAGCAGACAAAGGGAGATGCACGGTGATTCTTAACACAACTGATTATGAGGCTAAAGTTCACAGCCTTCTCTGTGACGCCGCTACCTACGAATTACTAAAACGAGACCCCACCAGTGGATACAGAAAGAAGATCATTGACTGCCTGTAGAAGTTGGAGAAGGAAGAAGTCATCAATCGACAGATGTATTATAGACTGTATCCTGGTGATTCCGTTCTGTGTATCTGCGGCCTCCCTAAGATTCACAAACAGGGAGTACCTCTCAGACCCATTGTTTGTAGCACAGACTCCATCACGTACAATGTGGCCAAACACCTGAAGACCATTTTGTCCCCTTTGGTGGGTAACACGGAGCACAATATTGAGAACACAGCCGAATTTGTTAACAAAATCAAACATCTCCAGTTCGACCCGGATGAGAAAATGGTTTCCTTTGATGTGACGTCTCTTTTCACATGTATCTCTACATCAGTAGCAGTGGAAGCAGCAAGAAGAGACTACTGCAGGATACCAAACTAGAAGAGAGAACTAAACTGTCACCTGATCAAATCTGCCAACTGCTGGAAATCTGTTTAAATACCACCTATTTCCAGTTCAGATGGAACTTCTACAGGCAAATCCACGGCTGTGCGATGGGCTCACCGGTCTCTCCTGTCATTGCTAACTTATATATGGAACAATTTGAACAGAGGGCCTTGGCCTCTTATCCAGGAACTCCACCCACACATTGGTATCGTTATGTGGATGATAACTTTTCTAAAATCAAAATTCAAGATTTGGAACCATTTACTGCACATATTAATGCTGTAGATCCTAACATCAAATTCACCGGTGAAGATGCCAAGAACAACACATTGGCTTTCTTAGATTGTGCAGTAACAATAGGAGAACACTGACTCCAGGTGGAGGTCTTCAGGAAGCCCACACACACGGACCAGTACCTGCTTTTTGATTCTCACCACCCACTGCAACACAAACTTGGAGTTATTCAGACACTACAACACAGGGCTCAAGTGGTGCCTACAAGCACAGAGGGAAAGGAGAAAGAAGAACAACATGTGCAGAAAGCCCTCTCTGTTTGTGGATATCCAAAACGGGCCTTCAACAAAACCTAGAGAACTAAAAAACAGGACAACAGAGAATCAGAACCCAGGAGAAAGGGGGTAACTATTCCGTACATGGCTGGTGTTCTGAAAAACTACAGAGGATTTTCAGACAACATGAGATCCCGGCCTATTTCAAACCTACAAACACTCTAAGACAGAAACTGGTCCACCCAAAGGACAAAACACCGTGCCACAAACAGAGCAATGTGATCTAGTCCATTCAGTGTAGTGAAGACTGCAGTGAACGCTACATTGGAGAAACTAAACAGCTACTTCACAAAAGGATGTACCAACACAGATGAGAGAGCAGCAGTGGACCTCAGTCTGCTATACGTCTCCACTTAAAAGCCACGGGCTACTCATTTGAGGACAGCGAGGTACAGATTTTAGCCAGAGAGAAAAACTGGTTTGAGAGGGGAGTGAAAGAAGCCATTTTTATTAAGAAAGAGAATCCTTCTCTTAACAGAAATGGAGGACTCAGAAACCATCTATCTCCTATTTACAACTCCATCCTCAAACCTAATTCAAAACAAACAAGAGAACAATAGGTGTAGCCAGGTCAGGTCCAGAGGTGTGGAAGCTCCATTATGGCCATTAATTGTTATGTTAATTAGACCCCACACACTGTACAGGTCAATAGGCCGAACTAACAAACAGAAACTGTAAACAAGTAGGTGTGTTAGTTTCAGTTTGTTGGCTCCTCCCTGCAGATATAAGGAAGTGTCCACTAGCATTCTGACCAGAACTGAAGAAGCAGCTTGAATGAGCTGCAAAACGTCTTCAACCAAACTAACTTTTGTCCAGTCGACAAACTGAATTTTTCTCCTCACCTGTTCACAGAAGGAATTATTTTTGAGCAATAGAAACACCTGTAATGAATAAATGCAGGATATTTAATGCCATACCATGGAACATTCCAGGGAAAGAAATAACATCTCCATGGAGACAAGCAACATCACGAGAAAAATTGTAAAACACATACCCTTCAGATGTGTGTGGTTGTGTGGATGATGCAGACCTTTGTGCCACATTTTTCCTCCTGTAAATGGAAGAAAAAAAAAATCATGCATAAAGACAAGAGTGGATGCCAATGTTGCCAGTGGAGACAACTATATATCAAAAGATAAGTGTGTAATTTCACTCAGATTCATATCATCTGAATAATACTTAGCAGATATTAATAGACGCTTGTATTTAAAGGTGCACTATATATGGTTTCTGGTGAAAGGTTCGCTACTTACTTGTCTCTGTGGAAATGCTGTTGTGCTTCCAGATGATATTTTGCTATTTATCTGTCTTCAACTACACTTACCTCATGATAAATTGATATAGCAAAAATCCATCTTGTTGCTCAAGATTCATTTTTGATGCCTACTGTGGAACATTCTCTGCAAAATTATTGCATCATCATGGAGACTATCAAATGGTGTGTCCTTCACTAGAAAAGTGATGTAGTGCACCTTTTAACTGACATAGCGCCAAAAGCAACCAGATTATCAGATTTTTAGAATCCATTATTTCAATCCAGTAATTTCCTCTTCTTTTAATGTCAACCACATTGTACCTTTTTTTGCGTTTTTTGCCACTAGATGACTTTGAGTTCTCTGGTCCAGATGGGTACACAGGCTTTTTCTGATCCATTTCTATAAATCATCAGACATTTGAATTAATAAATACTGTATATAATTATATTACTCACCAAACTTATCATATGAACAACAGCTATTAGGCAATTAGACAACAACCAGGCAAATAAAGTGTACCTCATAGCAATGTATCCTGACTTTGGTGCTAAGTTCTAAAAAGAAATATAATGATTTTGTGTGACTCCAAATGTGCAAGAGGCAAATAAATTTACAAAAAGTAAAAGTAGACAAGCCACCCAACGTTCATTAATGTGGGCTATTGCATGTGGGACATCACCAGCTACAAGAATGGAATTGTGATGTTGTAAACCCCTCCTAAATTTTGAGTGTGCATTTTCTAGGTTGCTTATGGTAACACACTCTGCATGGGAAGTGCTGACTTGAGTATGGTACGGGTATCAGCGTTATGGGCGAGTTAATTAGAGTAAAATAAGCATACTTAAATGTCATACACATCACATTTATTTTTATGAATGCAGGCCTATATATAGTGTTGGTAATTAATAAAAGGCATGAATTGGGTAGGCTATAATTGAGGTGTATATTTGAATGAATGAAAAAATATCTTGCCAATGGATTTAAAAATATATATTTAGACAGAGAGTAAATGTGCTTCAAACTACTACACAATGAGCAAAATTGCTATATATTACTGACATTGAGAGGGGTTTAAAAATATTTTGAAATACTTTGAAAATGGCTACATAAAAATCCCTATAGATATGTACTATAATAGTACGGTTTTTCTATCGATAGGGCGTGTCTACGTGTGCGTGTGCGCAACGTGATAGGAGTTATCTCATATAAACTTATTTAAATGTTTATACTGATGATACCGCTGCAAAATATGGGACATTTTTGCGCAGATACTTAAGTTAGACATCCTCTCAGACAAAGAAAACAGTCAGCTCAGTAAAAGAACAAAGACCTCCTAATTTTAGGGATGTTGAAAATATTTTTAGGGGTCTAGATCTCGACCCTATCTAGATATTTTACTGTGTATTGTACATGCTGGTGCCAATTCATTCTTAAATCTAAACATACTGCTCTCTAGACAGCCCATTTGCAGCTGACGTTTTATTAATTAACAGTAGTACTTTTTTACTCTAATAGGTGTGTTTTCGATGCCGAAGCCTTCACAGCTGCAGCCGAAGGGAGGAGAAAAAGACTAAAATCAGCTTGGACACTCCATGAGCCAAAGTACAGCCAGGACTCAGTCCTCAGAGTCCCGTTGACAGGACAGTGAAGTGTTGCACTGAATAAAACTAGGCTACATCAAACTTTTTGAATGTTTTCCCAACCACACCAGAGTCTGACCTCACATCACCTGAGCAAAGAATTACAATTGAGTTTACACGCTTAGGCTTGGTCTGTGCTAAAAAAAAAAAAAAAAAAAAAAAATCACTTTTACATCATCTTGGTAAATCAAATATTAATTACATTGTCACTGTATTGTAGAACCATGCATAAACGTTGTTACTGTGACTTAGAAAACGTAGACTCACAATTTAGGAGCGGCTTTATTTAGGAAAAACGAAAGGCGGTTAGCTTGACCTGAGTAAAAGTGTTAAACAATAATAATAACATTAATAAATAGCTCTCTTATTCTCTTTGTAAAAGGGGCATTTGTTTTTTTTTTACGAGGGCGTGACGTCATTGTGGTATCTTCTTTCTCTGATGGCGCTTGCCATTCTTGAACTGTATGCCCCCTGCTGCATCGTACTGAATGTTTAATGAATAAATATGCCCAACTAAACAAGCTAATGAGACGACCTGGTCAAGCATCGTTCATCTGCATGTGAACAGTTACTTCTGCCGAAACACAAAAAGATTCGGATTCTATTTCTCTTCAATGTGTTTCAATGTGTTTCTCTTCAATGTGTTTCTCTTCAAATAAAATCACTGCGCTACACTTTCCCGTAGATTGAGCCGATAAGACTATCAGATACGAGGGGTAGTTTAGTCCTAAATGTCTTGACGAACCACAATATAGCCTACTGGTCTAGGCCTGGCGTATAGCAAATTGAGATTAAATTACCAACCAAATAGGCAAAACTTTGCTTACCTGAAGACCATATGGAGTTACAACGTCATGACCATTACAAGCGGTATAAACTGCAGCCTATATTTCTTCAGCAGTTGTTCCTCTAAGCAAGAGTAGGCACTGGGTTTATAAAAGAGTCAATAGTGCGCTCCCTTGTGATGGTCATACGTTTAACTCCATATGGTCCTTCAGTGCCTAACTTAAAGTTTTGTCCATTTGCGTCTTGGACATTTAATTCTCCTCGCAATGTGATAAATACGTGACCAGCACTGCTATATTGTGGTTCGTCAAGACATTTAGGACTAAACTACCCCTCGTATCTGATAGTCTTATCGGATCAATCTACGGGAAAGTGTAGCGAAGTGATTTTATTTGAAGAAAACACATTGAAGAGAAACAATTGAAACACATTGAAGAGAAATAGAATCCGAATTTTTTGTGTTTCGGCAGAAGTAACTGTTCACATGCAGATGAACGATGCTGACCAGGTCGTCTCATTAGCTTGTTTAGTTGGGCATATTTATTCATTAAACATTCAGTACGATGCAGCAGGGGGCATACAGTTCAAGAATGGCAAGCGCCATCAGAGAAAGAAGATACCACAATGACGTCACGCCCTCGTAAAAAAAACAAATGCCCCTTTT